ATACAAGGCCTGGAACAGACCTGAAACTCACTGGATGCAGGGTAAACGTACCTATTAAGCTCACGTACCCATTAAGCACACTACCATCTTTGAGCTCAGATTATAAAAATAAAGAAATAATGTATTATCCTACTTGATGTCTTAATCAATTGGTGTGTTTGTTACTAGATACCTCCTGTAATTTCAAGTAAATCAGACCATTGCACGCACACTGAGATATGGGTACATGTGTTCACACTGTCTGGTGGCCATTTTGAAAGTTGTCTGTAAACTTTCACCAGAAGAGGAGCCCCCAAGGGGGTAATCCATCGACCGGAAGTTGAAGCCGGCCGGGTGCCGCCATGTTGTAGCAGAACTTCACTTGCGTTAGCATTTCCATTGACTCCCATTCATTTTGGCGTCACTTTGACAGCGAATAACTTTACATCTGAAGCGTTTAAAGATTCCATTTGTCCATTATTTATTTCTAAAGAAACACGACTATGTATAAAGGGCTCCATTACCTTCTATGTTACATTATGGCCCCGTAGAAACAGATTTTGTAAAAATAGGCTAACGATTGCGTCATAACCACTCGACTCTCTGTCGCGCTGTACAGAAATGACCGTACAGACAGGAGGAGAAGCTCGCAGGCAATCGGGGGGACGTCCCGTCAAGGGAGAAGCCCATAGATAATGAGTCCATAAAAGCAACGGAATACTTACTCCTGCTCACTCACGCCAAAGAACTCTTTGCTCAAGTTCCCCGTCTCTGCAAGATTAACGTTGGCAATTTTCACGCACAGCTACTAGAAGATTAACGTCTGTCAGACAGGTTGCTCACGTCATCAAGCTTAGTTTGAGTCGGTTTGAGTCTGCGCGTCAGGAACGGAAATGCTCAAAAATCGCTAAAAATGGGCTTCAACTGTCTCAACTGAGTTCCAATGAGATGGCTCTGTCCACTTCTTATACTGTCTATGGGAGCCCCTCAAATGTGCATTTTTTAAACGTTTAAGCCTTTATTTTGGGTTAGTATAACTACTTACTGCAAAATTAAGAGATTAATATTTAGACTTTTGGATATAATAACCTGGAACCTGGATGTGGGAAATAATTACAGTTATTTAATTAATTATAGTCCAAAAGATAGTTTTAGCAACATAGCGCAGATGCTACAGAACAGAGTTAGCTTACTAGCTGTATAAGATTGTGTGCTACACTAATATATTACTTCAGAGGCATTAATGGCTTGTGCTTTCAAATCCATAATATTATAAATTTACAGTTTTTTGATGGTCTGTGGTTTTACACTGCTGTCATTTTTAAAGACTTTATATTATAGTAAGGTGAGCTTAAAGGGTGCACTACTATGAAAATCACACAGCTTCAGTGTGACATCACTTAGAAAAAGTATAATTTCATAGATATTGTCAATAATAGTTGTTCATATTAAAATATGTATAAACATAAATATTGCAAAATATTGTCCTTTTAAAGTTCATGTAATATTTATTAATGAAAAATTGTCGTTGCTCCAATTAGCTCAGTGTGCTCCCTTTAAGCTCATCCACATTGAACGTCTATGTAATTACTTCATAAACAGACTTTAAATATTAACTGATGGTTGTCACTCTTTAAGTTAATCTTTCTAAAATAATTTATAACTTATTTTCACAGCCTTAAGATGTCAAAATCTAGACTGAACTATAGTTTCTGATAGTGTTGTCAAAAGTACCGACTTCAGGGCGCTTACACAGATACACACGGGAGTGTTTGAAAGCAGGCGTCTATCAGCGGATCGGTTTATCAGTACATATAGGGATCCGCTGATAGACACCCGCTTTCAAACACTCCCGTGTGTATCTGTGTAAGCGTTCTGTGAAGACAACATGTTTTTGAAGCGTTGATCATTTTAGCCTATCACAGACATATCTGTTGAGCGTGTGAACACAATGGCCAATCAGAGGTGTTTAAGAATCCATTCAACAGCGCTCAAAATGCTAGGGGGGAATTCTGGTATCACATTTTTTTTTTATTTCAGTACCGACTTGGTACCGAAGTCTGTACTTTTGACAATACTAGTTAATGCCCAAAGATGAAAGAGGCATGAGTAGCCTTTTATCTGTCCAGGAAGTTTGAGTAGACAGGAAAGCTCTGACCCAGAGAGTAAAGGAGCACATCCGTGTTGATGCGCATCAAGGGCAGTGTTTAGTGCAGAGACAGAAAGGGAAATCTCAGGTTGTCTTCAGGTAGGCTTGGTAAAAGTTAGACAAACTGAACTGTTAAAAGAGAGAGGTTTATGGCAGGAGTCAGTTTATATAATAAACAGTGATATTAATATTTCTAAATATATTTGTGTGTGAATGTATTCATTTAATTTCTTCTTTGTGTAGATCCTTTCCCAATGAGGCTGGGGATTTACCAGATCTGATTTTTTATACACTCTGTACCTTCAAATAAAACATTTTTCAATTATTCTTTAAAAAGGTTGTTTAAAATAAAGAATAATAGAAAATAATAGTAATAGAAATTTTAATAAAACAAGTTGATTAAGCTGAGAAATATCAAGTTGAGCTTATTGGCAACAGGGGTGTGCTTAAAGGGTACAAAAAAATAGGTTATGACAGTCTGTATGGTTTTAGGAAAATAACAAAGGAATTAGTAGCAATAGAAAAAACATTTCCATAGCTTAATGTAAATATTTTTAAACAACACAGCGTTTCGGTCAAAGCTCAACAGCGGTTTACGACAGAGTGTCACCTGTCAATGACCGTCTAGGAATTTATGTATTTGTTTGTTGAGAATATTAGCTTTGAAAGACAAACTTCCCCTAATAGAACAGCTGCAAATACAAATGTGTTCTTAAGTAACATAACAGAATAATGCTTCATCTTCAGACATGGACAAACACAAGCCTATTGTAGAAAAACAGAAATCTTGCAAAAAAACAAAACAAAAAAAAACAAGCAGGTTGTTGTGGTCAAACATCTCCGTCTTCTGTATCAACGGACCCATGAGTTCACCCTGAGGCACTCCTCTGATTCTCATTCCCCACTCTCAAGAGATCCTTCTGGGTTTCTGCCCTTTGACCTGCCATCTCATCAACAACAAGTCTAACACATTTCCAGCTCTTTCATAACAACTTGTAACATGAGCTGAAGTGTCTGTGTACAGTACAGTACCAACCAGCTTTGCTGAAGACATGTCTTATTCTAATTTCTCCTTCATGCGGGTGTGAGGATGGAACAACAAATATAGGAGTTAGAGTCACGCAAAATGCCTTTTGTTGCTGAAATACCACCCAAATCCCTCTGCACAGGCTTGGGGTTTAATTGGGTTTAAAACTTTTAGGGCAAGTGGGTTTGGTTTCATACTGGATTAGATCACAGAGCATACATGGCCCTGCTAAGCCTTTGTAATATGAATGTTCTGGTACCCTCTGCTTGCTCTGCGAAAGGACAAGGTTGGGGTCGACACGTATCACAGGTGCAAATCCAAGCGCTCCCAGAGAGTGTCTTTAAATACAACACTTACGCTGCCATCCATGCATCTTTCTGTTTTATTTTTGGTCAGTGGTTATTGAGCTCCCTCCCTTCCATTTTAACTTGGAGGGAATTTACAGAAATTTCAGCCAAAAATGTTCAAAAATGTTAATGTGGTGAAGTGACAGTGGTTGTAAGGTATCATACTAAAAGGCAGTGGTGGAGGAAGTACTGAATCTCAGTACTTAAGTAAAAGTACAAATAACCAGAGACATATTTACTTTAGTAAAAGTAGAAGTACCACAATGACAACCCTACTTAAGTAAAAAGTAAAAAGTACATGATTTTAAATTTACTTTAAGTATTAAAAGTAAAAGTACTTTCATAACAATTTATTCTCTTAATGTCTATATTCTAATGATTAATAAAACAGTTAATTCTAACTCATTCAACCTAATAATGATGTTCAATATGATGGAAAAGCAGTTATATTTTAAGTTTTTGTCACCATTTCTGAACAAGCTTGCAATTAGGCAATATACACATCAAGCTTACTATATAGCCTACCCTTACTATATACGATATATATATAAACACATATTATGTTAAAACGCCGTATTTGACGGCGTTTGGCTGTAAACGCGATTCATTTATGGCGTAATTCTGAACCTCTTGGCTTGCCATACTAATCCTAACCAAACGTATAATACACACGCACCCCACATCACTACTAAACCTACCAATGCGTTTCCTATGCATGTAAAAACTAATTTTCGCGTATAAGTTGCACGATAAACACACTGCGTGCTATAGAGACGCATTTAGTGTGACCGGGTTGATATATCTATGGCAACCAAACTTTACTGGTGGTGAGACAGAAACGTGCGATGAACGGACTGTCAGGATGACGTTTTGGCAGGGGAAAAACTGATCAGAAAATTTAACGAAAATGTAACAGAACGTTGTAGAAATGTAGTGGAGTAGAAAGTATAATAATTGCTGCAAAAAGTAACGAAGTAAAAGTAAAAAGTATGCACTATTAATTCTACTTAAGTAAAGTACAGATACGTGAAAAAATTACTTAAGTAAAGTAACGAAGTATTTGTACTTCGTTACATTCCACCACTGCTAAAAGGCATAGGCCTAGTTCACACAAAAGTGAAAATTCTGTCATAATTTACTCACCATGTCATTGAAAAACTATATGGCATTCTTTCTACCGTGGAACACAAAAAAATATTTTGAAAAACAAAATCTGTTCAATGTTGTTTTGGATCCCATTGACTGTAATTGTATGGGCAAAAACAACAAATACCTTGGTGTGTGTTCCACAGCATAAAGAAAGTAATGCAGATTTTGAACAACATGAGGGTGAGTAAATGAAGAATTTTCATTTTTAATATAAAATGAACTATTCCACTATGGTACGTTAATACTTATTACAGGACTTTACTGGATGTAATCAATAGAATTGTATAGTAATCTTTTGATTTTATTTATGTTGTCCAATGTGTCTAACTGAATGCCTCTCTATCTGTAGTATACAAATCACCTGAATATGAATCTTTGGGCTTTGATCTGACTGTGGAACGGCTGGTCTCCATTGGCTACCCACAGGAACTGCTCGGTTTTGTTTACGACTCCACTTTCCCTACAAGGTAATGAACTCTCATTAGCAGACCATATTTGAAATTGAAGTTATCAGTACCAAGATTATCTTGTGATATTATATTTATTGGATAATTAGCACATCTAACCCATTATTGTACTTTTTTACAGAGGTCTTGTGTTTGACACCATGTATGGCAACCTCCTAAAGGTTGATGCTTACGGAAACATCCTGGTCTGTGCCCATGGCTTTAACTTCCTGCGAGGGTGAGTAATCCCGGCCCCCGATGGATGGGCTTGGTTACAGATCTCTGTTGAAGCCTGTGGAGTATGTGCTCAAAATGTTTCTGTGTCCCATGCCAGCCCTGACATCCGAGAGCTCTATTCCAACAAATTTATCCAGCGTGATGACACAGAACGCTTCTACATCCTCAACACACTTTTTAACCTTCCAGGTAGGTACTTCATCACTGTCCTACATACAGTGTCTCTGTCACTGGCTGCCATTCAGAGACACATTAACAGTGTCTTTTTGACCTCTTAATACTTATATTTTAGAGTTGCAATTGTAACACATGACTTCCTGTTACATTTAAAGCAGGTAATTGTCTTTTCTAATAAACCAAGCAAAGTTACTACTGAACTTAATTCAGTTATCATTACGCACCATGAGACATATGGAAAAGCAGCTTTGTTGTTTTGTTTGAAAGAAAAAATGAATAGGACATTTTTGACAAACACCTTTTTACCTACAATATGCATACATAATTTTCAAAGATACAAATCGTTTTTGTTGCATTTAAAAAGCACTTTGAAAACAAAAATTATTCAGTATATAATTGCCTACATATACACTACCAGGGCCTAAAAATAACACAAGTGCGGTAAGCGCCAAATGCAGCTTTTTCTATTCATTCTAACAATGCCTGAGATCACGATATTCTTTAGCCTGATTATCAAATCGCAAAGCCTGCATTGTAATTATATAAATATGTAATCTTATGCGCTGCATGTTTCAGAGTGAATCACAGCACTGTGGTCTTTTCACATGAGTGTTTTGAGTGTCTCAAAGTGGCTCGGTCGCAGTAAATGCTGCTCCATACGAACACTCAAGTGCTGTGAGTTTAAATCACTTATAACGTGCATTTGAAATTGCAACGTGCCAAACATCTTCCTAAGTGTGTAATGAGAATGGAATAATTTATAAATCTGTTGTCAACAAAAGATAAGCAGTTCAAAAGAGAAGTTTCCCTGCGGTTTCCTCTCTCAGGGAACTCAATGCTGCGTCAGTTGTTGACCCGCAGAACTCGATGTCTCAAGCACTTGTGAAATCATGACTTATTGGTTGATGGCAGTCCGATTAAGTTACATTAAGTGCCCGAGCGTATAAAAGGGTGCCTGCATTACACGTTATCAGCTTTGTTGTCTTCAGGAAGCCACTTTGTTTGTATGTGCATGTGAAGCTAGGAGTCCATCGGAGCGCGTTCGACTCTTGAGGGAGCAGGATACACTCATTGCGATGCATTCAAGGTAGGAAGCTCCATTCTTACTTGACTGTCTCTCAGGGGGATAAAATCAAACTTCTGCATGGAACGTGTTCAGCTTTCGAGGGAGTTAGATGCACTCATTGTGAATGATGCATCCGCAGTTGGAAGATCTGTTCTTGCTTGACTCTCGGGATGAGAATCAAGCGTTTGCACGGAGCGCGTAAGGCTCTCGATGGAGCATTCGCAGTGGGAAGCTCCTCCCTTGCTTGACTCTCTCTTAAGGGATGAGAGTCGAGCACCTCGAGGTTCTTGGGAATTTTGTAGGCAGAATGTGGGAGGAGTATTTCCCTTCTTTGGGCTTTTCTCACTAGCTCTATTGCTCTCATGCTGAATCAGGAATCACGCTTGAGGAGTGGCCATCTGCTATTGGTTTGAGTGGGCGGAGCTTGAGATGATTGTTCCCCTTTCTCTTGCTCTTCATTTTTGGATTTGGAAGCTCGCTCTGCAAATTCTCCCAATCCAAATAAAGGCCAATTAAATTTGTCACTGACAGGCTCGGATCGGAAAACATTATGGAAAGACTCCTCACAGAGATTCACATTTTGGTTAATCGTAAGATCCTTTTTGTTTAAACTCAAACGGACGTTTATCGATCTCCTCAAACCCACCGGACGGACTCCATTGACAAATACAGTACCTTTACCTTGCACACCATCATAAAACAAACTTCGTTCAAACTCAACAGAAACAAAATAAAACGCACCAAAAACCATTTTGTTTTTTTACACTGTTCCAACAATCATCGACTCTAGTTTGGAATAAATAAATCCTAAGCTAATTCACTGAGTCAGATTTGAAAATGTTGGGAGAGCAGTGAGCGAGTAGACATCTAACTCTGTAATGGTGTTTTCGACCAGAAATTACTGAGTGAGTGAGGGAGGAGATTGCAATGTTCGCTAGCTAAATGTGCCGTTTCATTACACACCAAAAACAATGTATACTGTAGTGTGAAAACTATAGCGTAATAATAATACAATGATTTTTAACTTGCCGAACTTCCAGTCCTCCAGTCCTTCTCCTTCTCCAGTCACTAGCAGTTACAGAAATCCTGTATTATTGTCTGGTATATTACAGCCAGGTTACAGCAAGGTTACAGAAGCACTAAAATATTCCTGCTCAATCGAAATTATCCATAATGCAATATAAATTACGGTATTTTACTGTAATGTAGAAACGTGTTATTGTACTGTAGGTTTTTACAGACTGTGCTGTAAATCTACAGCGACATCTACCACCGTGTCTATACCGGACGCAACCGCTGACGCGTTGCATCGCACTGTGATACAACAGCTAGAAGCTGTCTACACTAGACGCGACACAATTTTTCCTTCCTATGAGAAGTATCGTGAGTGCTTGGAGCACGTCATAAATAGAACGAGGCATCAGTTTACTGTCAGGGATTTGTCGTGTCGCGCTTCGCCGTGTCACATCCAATGTAGACAACATCACTGATTATAATGTTTAATAATAAATATAATATATAATAATCCATTGTCTTTTGTCACGTCGCATCACGTTGCTCGTGACCAATGTAGACACGGTGTAACAGTGTGGAGTTGCTGCAAGTGACTCTATAGTTTACCTGTTGACTGGTTCGGCTGCTGGATTGTAGTGCTATGGACTTAGCTGAGGCTATGTCTGTAGTCTCCCCTGATAGCTCTGCTCTTTGGGGCTCTGGGTTCCCCTGTAGCTGTGGCTTGGACTGGCTTGGGCAAGAGTACCCGTGTCAGGAAAGGTTGAGCAAGGAAGCTTCAGGGCTTTTTTTTCCTAGTCCCTATAACACTAGCTTTCTCAGGAGCAAGGCTATGGTGACACAGATTGCGTCCTTATTTGTTACTGACACATTTAAGCCTGACAAAATTGTACTTGGTAACCTTCATTAGTCAGCATGGCGTAGTGGCATAGTGTCACTGCGTTGACTTCCCTACGAAAGGGAACGTCTCTGGTTACTTATGTAACCCCCGGTTCCCTGAGAGGGGAATGAGAAGCTGCATTGCCATGCTTCGGGCTTGCCTGCCTTCAAATTATGCACACACAGTTTAATGGCTGATAAAAATGATTTATGGCCAGTAAATTTTCTCAAGTCATTGGTAGGTGTGGCAAAATGTTACTTTTACAGCCACCACCATTCAAAAGTTTGGGGTCAGTAAGAGTTTTTAATATTAGACAGTGGTCTCTTGTCCTCAAGGCTGCAATTATTTAATCCAAACTTACGGTAGTGTATAATTTTAATTATGTGCAAAATTTTAATTATGTGCAAAAAATTGTAAGTTGTTCATGCTTAAATTTGAGAACAACTTTCACACTCTCTGTCTTTCTATATCTTTTACTCTCTCTCTCCGCACAGAAACATACCTCTTAGCCTGCCTGGTTGACTTCTTCTCAAACTGTGACCGATATTCCAGGTAGGAGTTCCAGTAACTATGATTCTATTACTCTGTTGCCATGGACACTGCATACAGCCATACCAGTGATTGATAATCAGTATCATTTACTGTGGGTGAGGACTATTTGACGCTCTATATTAGTCCACCAGAACGCTACAACTTGATAAGAAAATCTTAAAACAATTTTACAACTATGCTATAAAACAGGATGACACAAGCAGATTGTTGTCTGTGATTCAACTATGGTTCATGTTCATGCATGAAATCATTTATCATCAGTTTACTGTAACTTGCTAATGACTAATCACAGTGCATGTAAAGTAGGTCAAATAGAATTAGAAAATTTAAACAGCATGAAAATAACTTTATTCATGCTCTGGGGCGAAAAAACCAGCCAGGCCTATGTAGATAAAATCTGTTAAAACGTAGTAGTCTGTGATTTGTGTTTTGGTATGGATGCATGTCCTCTGAAACACCTGTTGGTCCTTTTAGGGGGAGAGAGCTTTCCTGTTTGGCTCGGACAACCTCAAACAAGGGAAGACTGTCCCATTTAAACATGTCTGACTGTCGATAAAATGTGTCATGGCTGCCGCTCGGCGTCTTACTCTGCTGTCCCTTTGTTCTTCTAAACCTTTAGCTGTGAAACAGGCTTCAAGGATGGAGACCTCTTCATGTCCTTCAAGAGCATGTTCCAAGATATCCGAGATGCTGTAGACTGGGTACATTTTAAGGTACAAATGTTCTCGGTTTGTCTTTTTCTTTTTTTCTAAAGTCAATTCACCTTTATTCATATAGCACTTTATACACAGATAAAGCAAATAATGTTCAGTGATGCACACAGAGTTCAATTCTGCTGTAAAGCAGCTCTAAAAAGACAATAGTGTCAGTTCGGTTCAAGAACTGTCTAAAGTTCATCAATTATGAAATGAGTTGAATTCAGCTATAAGCAGCTCTACAGAAAAACAGTGATGTCATCGTCCAGCTCAGTTCAGTTCTTATCCAGTTCTCATCATCATGTCAGTGCAGTCAAATCAACAATATTGTTGAATATTAGTTGTCAGAGGAAGTCACTAAGTCAGAGTAATCTGCCAGGGTAACAATGCTGTGTACATTTAATAGCAAGCAGCTAGGATTAATAGTAAAATGAATATAAACAGCAGGTGTTTATAGAGGGAATGCATTAACTTCACTTCCCCGCCGGAACACGCCCCCCTCAGCGGGACTGAGTGGCAGAAGAGCTGCTGCGTGACTGGAGTTAATAGGGGAAACTGCGTTAACGCGAGTAAAACAAACTATTATCAGTTTAAACTAAAAGTTGGACTCGATATAGTGTTCCTTACAACTTATCAAAGATCCAGTGATCCATGGATATTGACATGCAGCAGGAATCGTGTTTCCTGACATTTATATGTGCCTGATTTCGACGCCGGGGAAATAAATGAAGACAATTTGCCTGTAAACGTTTTATATAAATACAATATAGATAGGTCTAAATCCGAGTGATCACTTACATTAATGTTATACTGTATATCATCATATCGTCCAGCCCTAAAACTTGTATAGTTTTTTGTCAGTGTTTATTTAAAAACATCCAATTATGCAGAATATAGTCTGTTCTGTAGCTTTTTGCAGTCTGTAAAAATATACAGTACCTCAGATTTCTGGTCAAATCTAGTTGTACAGTAGGGGTGGGAATCTCTAGGCACCTCACGATTCGATTCGATTACGATTCAGAGGGCTGCGATTCGATGCTAAATCGATTATCAGAATCTTTTTTTTGTGTGTGTGTGACTATAAATACTTTGCTTTAAAAGTACAAAGTAATGACCCATAAAGAATTAACGTACAATATATTTTATTAACATTGCAAAGAACCAACAGGAAAATACATGTGTGTCTGAACTAGCAGCAGCATATTTGTAGTAAATTAATAATATAACAACGACCGGTAACGTTACAGCCGAGTGTTTTTCCTCCTCTGGCTGGAAACGTGTCATTTGGCTTCATGTGTCTTGTTTCCGAAATATTTTAGTTTTACTCTACAAAGCTTACAACTAGTGTGGCTCTTGTCCAGCTCCTTTCCCCCTTCAACTTCAGAAGCCAAAATATTTCCACACGTCAGCTTTTAACGAGGAGGGTGTTTGGATTTGGCGCTCAGCCATCGCGTCCGCGTCTGTTATGTGCACGCCACAGACGGTCCGGCCACTGCACTTCCGCGCTTGAGAGTTCCGTCTTTCGCGTTCCGTCAATATTACGTTATTATAAATATATATCTAAAAATTTTTTTTTTTTTTTTGAAAATCGATTTTTGACAATTGTGAATCGATTCAGAATCGTCCACGTCCGCATCGCGATGCATCTAAGAATCGATTTTTCCCCCACCCCTATTGTACAGTCAATCGCAAAGCTCTTTCCCGTTTTAGATGTGTTTTGTGTGATTTTCACGGCATTCACGCTGAAAACAAATGCTGCCGCTCAGTCTTTTTGCCACTTGTGGGCGTGACCGCATTCACTCCGGCCGACGGTGACGTCATGCGCATACCCTCTATTGGAAGTGTTTTAGATGCATGTCACAAACTTGCTCCGTTGCTGATTTACTCAGGGAACATTGAAGGAGAAAACTGTGGAAAACCTGGAGAAGTATGTTGTGAAAGATGTAAGTTTGTCTTTTCATTTTTTGAAGTTACTGATTTGCCTTTTTGTGCTACAGTTTTTGCAAGGGAAGTGTAATTCTAAAAAAAAAAAACATTTTTTTTCATTTAAAGGCAAAGTTGCCATTGCTGCTGAGCCGCATGACTGAAGTCGCAAAAGTTTTCTTAGCCACCAACAGTGACTACAAATACACAGAAGTGAGTTTACTGATGCAAACACATTCATAAGCTCTCTTTCAGAACCTAGTGAGCTGCCTTGCTGCATACAGGCAACACAGCCACCTATGGCAGCAAGCTATCTATAAGGAAAGATTTGAAATGCTTTACATTGGCAGCTTTATGTAAGCTAACAGCTCAGTAACATAGCACACACAAACGTTGGGAAAAATATAACATTTTAAATGAACTTCGGCAGGAAAGACGCCAGGCTGTGAGGAATAGACTTACAGTATTTATTTACAATGGTATCAGCTGTATAATTGTCCTAGATCACATGTTTTTTTTTTCACAATTCACAACTTTCCAAACCGTTTTACAGAGTTTTTGTGTACTGAAAGACTTTTTGGAAAGATTTCGTCAGCTAAACAATTGTTGTGTTATTAATAAACAACAATACAAGCCATTGAACACACTGTTTTTTAGCCCAGACCTCGCAGCCTCATTTTCTTTCCTGTCAAAAATTAAACATGGCACTGCCGCTACCCTCACTGAAGTCTATTACATTTAACTGTTTTTATTAGTGCCTTTTAGTATTATCAAAACTTTTTGCAATCAATATTATAATTGTATTTTATTATGAATGTTTCTGCCTTAGCAATTGGCAGAAACCAACTTTTACTCACAAATAGCAATCTCTCAGCAATTTCTAACCAATAAAATATTTTAAAGCTTTACATAACTAGAAAAAATGATATTCATTATAAAAAGTGTCATGTCATTAGTTATATATATATATATACACTCACCGGCCACTTTATTAGGTACCCCATGCTAGTAACGGGTTGGACCCCCTTTTGCCTTCAGAACTGCCTCAATTCTTCGTGGCATAGATTCAACAAGGTGCTGGAAGCATTCCTCAGGGAGTTTGGTCCATATTGACATGATGGCATCACACAGTTGCCGCAGATTTGTCGGCTGCACATCCATGATGCGAATCTCCCGTTCCACCACATCCCAAAGATGCTCTATTGGGTTGAGATCTGGTGACTGTGGAGGCCATTTTAGTACAGTGAACTCATTGTCATGTTCAAGAAACCAATTTGAAATGATTAGAGCTTTGTGACATGGTGGAAGTAGCCATCAGAGGATGGGTACATGGTGGCCATAAAGGGATGGACATGGTCAGAAACAATGCTCAGGTAGGCCGTGGCATTTAAACGATGCCCAATTGGCACTAAGGGGCCTAAAGTGTGCCAGGAAAACATCCCCCACACCATTACACCACCACCACCAGCCTGCACAGTGGTAACAAGGCATGATGGTTCCATGTTCTCATTCTGTTTACGCCAAATTCTGACTCTAACATCTGAATGTCTCAACAGAAATCGAGACTCATCAGACCAGGCAACATTTTTCCAGTCTTCAACTGTTCAATTTTGGTGAGCTCTTGCAAATTGTAGCCTCTTTTTCCTATTTGTAGTGGAGATGAGTGGTACCCGGTGGAGTCTTCTGCTGTTGTAGCCCATCCGCCTCAAGGTTGTGCGTGTTGTGGCTTCACAAATGCTTTGCTGCATACCTCGGTTGTAACGAGTGGTTATTTCAGTCACTGTTGCCCTTCTATCAGCTCGAACCAGTCTGGCCATTCTCCTCTGACCTCTGGCATCAACAAGGCATTTCCGCCCACAGAACTGCCGCTCACTGGATGTTTTTTCTTTTTCGGACCATTCTCTGTAAACCCTAGAGATGGTTGTGCGTGAAAATCCCAGTAGATTAGCAGTTTCTGAAATACTCAGACCAGCCCTTCTGGCACCAACAATCATGCCACGTTCAAAGTCACTCGAATCACCTTTCTTCCCCATACTGATGCTCGGTTTGAACTGCAGGAGATTGTCTTGACCATGTCTACATGCCTAAATGCACTGAGTTGCCGCCATGTGATTGGCTGCTTAGAAATTAAGTGTTAACGAGCAGTTGGACAGGTGTACCTAATAAAGTGGCCGGTGAGTATATATATATATACACACTCACCTAAAGGATTATTAGGAACACCTGTTCAATTTCTCATTAATGCAATTATCTAATCAACCAATCACATGGCAGTTACTTCAATGCATTTAGGGGTGTGGTCCTGGTCAAGACAATCTCCTGAACTCCAAACTGAATGTCAGAATGGGAAAGAAAGGTGATTTAAGCAATTTTGAGCGTGGCATGGTTGTTGGTGCCAGACGGGCCGGTCTGAGTATTTTACAACCTGCTCAGTTACTGGGATTTTCACGCACAACCATTTCTAGTGTTTACAAAGAATGGTGTGAAAAGGGAAAAACATCCAGTATGCGGCAGTCCTGTGGGCGAAAATGCCTTGTTGATGCTAGAGGTCAGAGGAGAATGGGCCGACTGATTCAAGCTGATAGAAGAGCAACTTTGACTGAAATAAACACTTGTTACAACCGATGTATGCAGCAAAGCATTTGTGAAGCCACAACACGCACAACCTTGAGGCGGATGGGCTACAACAGCAGAAGACCCCACCGGGTACCACTCATCTCCACTACAAATAGGAAAAAGAGGCTACAATTTGCAAGAGCTCACCAAAATTGGACAGTTGAAGACTGGAAAAATGTTGCCTGGTCTGATGAGTCTCGATTTCTGTTGAGACATTCAGATGGTAGAGTCAGAATTTGGCGTAAACAGAATGAGAACATGGATCCATCATGCCTTGTTACCACTGTGCAGGCTGGTGGTGGTGGTGTAATGGTGTGGGGGATGTTTTCTTGGCACACTTTAGGCCCCTTAGTGCCAATTGGGCAGCGTTTAAATGCCACGGCCTACCTGAACATTGTTTCTGACCATGTCCATCCCTTTATGGCCACCATGTACCCATCCTCTGATGGCTACTTCCAGCAGGATAATGCACCATGTCACAAAGCTCAAATCATTTCAAATTGGTTTCTTGTACATGACAATGAGTTCACTGTACTAAAATGGCCCCCACAGTCACCAAATCTCAACCCAATAGAGCATCTTTGGGATGTGGTGGAACGGGAGCTTCGTGCCCTGGATGTGCATCCCACAAATCTCCATCAACTGCAAGATGCTATCCTATCAATATGGGCCAACATTTCTAAAGAATGCTTTCAGCACCTTGTCGAATCAATGCCACGTAGAATTAAGGCAGTTCTGAAGGCGAAAGGGGGTCAAACACAGTATTAGTATGGTGTTCCTAATAATCCTTTAGGTGAGTGTATATATATATATATATTTAAATTTCCATGACTTTTTATGGTCTAGTAAAGACACTTTTAAAATTCCCTCATATCTCAGAATTTTCCTGTGAGAACCCTGGCTCAAATGACGGTTGTTGAGGGAATGAATTAAAAAAGCTTTTCAAAAGCTTTGCGTCAGAACTGTGCCTATGATTCCTTAAAAATCCCTTTGTATGCAGCTCTTTAGGTTTTGGATCAGAGCAACAGACAACCACACATGCAACTCGTTTGTTTCATATTTGGACGCACATATTATCTGCCTCATGAAGCTATTTGTTTAAGCCATCATCATCTTTTAACAAACCCAGCTTTTGTTTTGATTTGTTTTACAGAAAATTATGACATACTTGTTTGACTTCCCACATGGCCCAAAGGTATTTTCAACCTCTCTTTGAACTTTTCTAAAGAGTTTCCTGCCATATATTGTTGCTCATAGTAATGTTTTTTTTTTGTTGTAGCATGGCACTCCACACCGTCCTTGGCAGTCGTACTTTGACCTCATCCTAGTGGATGCTCGAAAGCCTTTATTTTTTGGAGAGGGAACGGTTCTGAGACAGGTGGATACGGTGAGTAAATAACAAAACCCCTAAAAAAAAAAGAAGCCAACTTTCTAAGTCAGCAGGTGTAGAATTGCACATTCTGGAACATTTTATCCTGCTGAACGCAATCACAAAGAGGGTTAGTCAGCACTGAGTATAGAGCGTTTATACTGAAGTCTGCTGAGCACAATACAAGCTGAAAGCTGAGCACTGTCCTGTCTTCCCTTTGCAATATTAAGGGGCTAAACAGCTCATAGCATCAATAACTCAAAAATCAAATATTGATTTCTGTTCTTATTTTGTGGGTGTATTTGCACTATTAACTGATTTGCATAATTCATTGATTGTGTCGCATGCTAAACAACACAGACGGTGTGTGTGTGTGTGCACATCAAGCAGGCACAACTGATTCTTTGTTATTTATATGTGCTGAGAAAATGTAACATTAAAAAGGGAAAATTTAGCAGTAATAAGTTCATTAGTGGTTCTCAAACTTTTTGACTGCAATCTTCCAAGAAAATATTCAAAGGCCAATCAAGATATTTCTGGTACTTCTGATGTAATGGCAAAGCTGCTTGTTTTCAAACATTTGTATGTACAGTAACTAATAGTGGCAATATTTTCAAATAAAGTAATTATACATAATTAAAAAGCTAAATTCCATAATTCCAGAGATTTAAATAACTGATTGTTCTTTATTGTTTACACATTACCAATTAATGATTAGTTTAAAAAAATGTGTCATGACGAGACTGTGAGAACCGTGGTTCATAAATAAAGATGACAGTCATTGTCACACAAATTAAAATAGGAAATACAATAGCTACGTTTACATGGACACTTTTTGATTGAAATCATTCCGATTGATGAATCCGAACATAGTGTTTTTCATGAACGCTAAATAAAGTCATCGGGTTGATGTGCGCGTTTATATGTCACAAGCTTCAAATTGGATTTGATCTTTTGGCATGCGCACACTGCATAAATATATAGAGTTTCCCGCTTTTGGCACATACATCAGCCTAACATTTCTTTGTAATAAAAAGCAGACTTAATATGTATCTATTTCGGGGTCCTGATTAGGAGACAGTGGTCAGATGAATCTTTGTGCCGTGCTGCTTAAATTTATCAAGCAGAAAAACGCACACTTCCCACGCCCAAAACAAGGCGTCTGTGGATGAAGCAAGTACTGATGGGACAACGCTGTCCTGCAGCACTTCACAGACAATCCATGGAATGAGAATTTACTCTATATTCAACATCGGCTCGTTTCGTGCATCAAATGTGATTACGCTATTTCTACGTCATTGCACATTTCGCAGAGCTTTCCAGTTTCTGTTTTTTCGCTGATTTCACGCAGCCGCCATTTTGAAATCGCTCCGGTGGGAAGAAAACCGGAAGTGTCGCTTTTAATCATAGGAGAGTCGCGAATGCGATGGCGTATTGTTGTGTTTAATGTAGAAATTAGTTATTCTAAAAATTTACATACATTTCTTTCATACTTTAGACTATATACAGTGAAATTAATTTATAAATAAAATTATTTTTTTATATATAATTCAGAACATAAAAAAAGAAGCAGGAACGAACTATAAACATATCCTATATTGGATATTAACATCCAATAGTGTAAATCGCGGCAGCAGCTTCAGGTTGGTAGTCCAAGGCATTGTTGTCTATCTGTAATTCCGGGGTTCTTCCCACCGGAGCCTCGCTTTCGATTTCAAAATGGCGGCTGCGTGAAATCAGCGTATCGAACGGTTTAGAAAAAGTTTAAACCACCCCTCACAATCCGAATTAAATTTTAATTGGATTTGATACGTGCAACTTTTTTATTCTGACTGTGCTATAGTAGTCTGATTACAAACGGATTATTAGGGTCCATGTAAACGCAGCTAATGTCTGCTTAGATGAAGTTTTAGCTTATTTTAAAGCTTGTTTGTCCTATTTTAAGTCATCTTGCGGCCCCCTTTGAAGTGTGTTGAGGCCCCCTAGTGGCCCCCAGCACTCTTGTTTATAACCACTGAAGTACATTGAATGAAAATTCAGACAGTTTGGACATCTAAATATTAATCGGTCTGTTCTCTATCCCAGACCACAGGGCGGTTGAAAATAGGAACATACACTGGACCTTTACAACATGGCATTGTTTACTCTGGAGGTACCGGAAATTCTTGGATAAAGATGCAAACAACACACTCACAGATGTATCTCCCTGAAGGCCCTGAAACATATTCCGCTGATGACTAACATTTAGATCACAAGTCCATTACAGATCAACACTTTATCACATGATTTTTTAACTGCATGTGTAGTCACTTAGTTTGGTAATGTAATACGGTTTCATGTGTTGACATTAGTTAACTACATTAGTTTACATGAAAAAAAAAAATGCTTCTAAAGCATTTATTCATCTTAGGTAATGTTAATTTTAACATTTACTAATACATTATTAAAATCAGAAGTTTTATTTGTTAATGGTATTTAATGGATCTGAGCTTGCATAACTAACAATGAAAAGAGTGTGTTTTTATTAACTTTAGTATTAACAAATATTAATAAATACTATACAGATATACATGTATTGCTCATTGTTAGTTAATGTTAGTCAAGACATGAACTAATGTTAACTAATAGGGACTTGGTGTGAAGTGTTATCCTTAGTTCTGATTCTCTGAAGGCAAAACCTGTGAGAGCATTGATTGGCTGAGATATTCATGATAAAGTCATATTGAGATTATTTTGACAAATATAGTGATTGTGGTTTAAATTGTGCTGTGACAAATATATAAAAAAAAACATCTCAGATCGCCATTTCTAGGCTATCAAGGCTGAAAGAACAAAGGCAAAAAATCACACTGGAACAGCAACTCTCATGTTCAACATATTAGAATAAAATCATTTCAAATTGATTCATTTTGCAACCTTTCTCTGGCCATTGAATATGCCATAGAAATTAAATGGGTAACACTTTATATTAAGGGTCATCATTAATTACTAGTGTGTTCGTGCTTAACTAATGCTTAATTGTGAACAAGTTAATCATTAATTATTGCTTAACTAATGCATTATTCTGGACACTTGCAATAAATTGTTTAATATGTGAACATGTCACTCTATTTTAAAAATGTATGTTGTCATCTCTGCCCAGGTTCCTCTGACACTGTGTGTGATTTACTCGGAGCGAAAGGTAAGGATATTGTGTACATTGGGGATCATATTTTTGGAGATATTCTTAAGTCCAAAAAGCGACAGGGTTGGCGGACGTTCCTGGTGATTCCTGAATTGGCGCAGGAGCTGCACGTGTGGACAGACAAAAGCTGTGAGTGTCGCCATATTTCAGTAAAATAAGCCTGTTTGACCTGTTTCACACAGTACGTAAGCAGCACACATTTATTTGGGGTGCCCATTATTAATAGGTAACAGCATGGTTGGCACAAGCACATTGGCGATGAATAGCTGCAAGTAGAGTTTTAGTGCTGAACTACTTATCCCATGTAAACCTATCTTTTGCAATATAGGATTTAGAGCAGTTTATAGCTATATTTTGGGATTTGGGTTCCAATCCATGAAAATTCATTACCATTTTGATGCAAATGTAATCCCTCTTTGTATATTTAGATTGGTTGACTATCAAATCTGTAATAATTATATTATGATCATTACTACCATTAATTACTTAGTGTCGTAACCTAGAAACTACTTAATGTTTTGCATACATTTTTTGCAGCAGTTCTATTACAAAGCAAACACTGTCATGACACAGACCTTCTTGTAATAAACTCAATAAAGAAAGGAATGCTCAGAATGAGAAAGACTAAAAAGAGTGTCAGATAATATGTTAACACTTGGAAGGTTAAGGAAGAGATGTGAAACCCACTCATGCAAGGGTTCTGCTCTCTCATTCACAGCTCTGTTCGAGGAACTGCAGGGCTTGGACATTTTCTTGGCAGAACTATACAAGTGAGTAAAGCTGCCTCTGTCCCTCAACACGTGTGTGTGTCTGGTATGTTATGGGGACAAAATGTTCCCACAAAGATGGCAATATCCTAAATCCTTGTCCTTGTGGAGAAATGTTTTGGTCCCTATGAGGAAAACAGCTTATAAATCATAATAAATTATGTAAAATGTAAAAAGTTTTCTGTTATAGGTTGGTTTTGGAGTAGGTTTAAGGTTAGGGGATAGAATATTCAGTTTGTCTAGTATAAAATCATTTTCTATATAAAATCACCTATATAATGTCCTCATAATGATATGAATACCTGTGTGTGTGTGTGTGTGTGTGTGTGTGTGTGTGTGTGTGTGTGTGTGTGTGTGTGTGTGTGTGTGTGTGTGTGTGTGTGTGTGTGTGTGTGTGTGTGTGTGTGTGTGTGTGTGTGCGCGCGCGATCGAGTGAGTATATATGTCTCAGGAATGTGCAAAATTCAGAATGTAAAATGGCCATCCTTTTATTTTGTGAGGTGAAAATTGAATTGACAATGCCCCACAGGATGGTGACAGGAAGTGGAACTGACTGAATTGCAATTCTCAAAAAATCAACAGAAGAATTACATTAGCCCCAACAAAATCAACAAAACAGCCATCAACTTAATATCCATCACATTGTTTTTAGATAACTTTTATGAAAATAAAATGTTGACATTTGGATCTATTGAAGGCGATCACGCCATTTCTGAATTATTGTAATTGTGAGATTCCTACATAAGTGCTTTTATTTACAAATTACTAACTCAGAATTTTCTGAGCTCCGACTTGCACCGCTTCATCAGTAAAATGTAATTAAGTGGTTAATTAATCTCATAATATTTCTGTTAGTGTTTAATGATTCCTCTAATTGTCTTTTGTTGGTATTTTATTAAGGCCAGATTAATCAGAGTTTGATAACTAATGACTAATGTCCTGCTAAATAAACTAATAAAAACTGAATTAAAAGTTTATCAATAAGGCATTTGAATCAAAACTATTGTTGTATTGTAGTTTTGTCTGTTGATTACTCAAAATACGCATATTCATTTTGAAATGTTGGTCATAGAAATGCATAATTCCAAGTCCGGGTAGCCTATGTGAACAGCTCCGAGTAGAACATCCAGGTTGACATTATGGTAATTACACACCATAATCTCTCTCGCTGTCCTTAATACAACCTTCTAGGGTCATAGGGCTGGAGCCTATCCCAGTTTCTTAGGCCAGAGGCAGAGGAAAGCACCCTGACTCTACTTTTCTCTCGCTCACGGTCTTTCTTTCTGTAGGCATTTGGACAGCAGCAGCAATGAGAGGCCAGATATCAGTGCCATCCAGAGAAGAATGAAGGTACACACACACAGACACACACCGAATCACACACGCACATTCCACATATTTCAATTATGATCTGATTTTACTAGATGTGAAACGGCTCAAATTTCATCTTAATATAAAGTGAGACCGTTGGATAGATACTGTAAACTAAGTGTATTTAACTACTATGTACTAACGTTTAAATGACTCATTTGGTTAAATGCACTTAATATGTTCATACATGTCTTTACATTGTACTTATATTTATAATACTGTATACCAGTAATTTCTGTAATTACATCTATTATTACACTGTTGACCTTTCCCTTACACCTTAACCCACCCTTACACCTACCCATACCACTAAACCTGTCCCTAACTTTACCCGTATCCAACCTCAATAGCAGCAAAAGTGTTTTGCAATACATGTACCTAACAATGTTTTTTTTTTTAATTTTTTTTTTTTTTATGTAAGCACATTTAAGTGCCCTAATAACTTTTAAAGAGTTTAGAGTTTAGAAATATTATGGGTTATTTTCATGAAGAGTATCTGTGGAATGCTCTTGAGCTTAATAATTTAGACTCGTTCCTCTGTTTGCATAAACGAACAGGAAATGTGTTTACATCAATGCTTGTAATGGCAGCTTATAAGTCTTGTAAGTTTAATTATTGCCCATGGTAATCAACAGCCTGTCACATATGCCGCCCATAAATATTTGGATGGAATGAATTAGCTACAAGAGGGATGTTATATATTACATGTTGATTCAGTAATTCTCTCTGTGTGTCTTGGCTCATCAGAGAGTGACTCATGACATGGACATGTGCTACGGGATGATGGGAAGCCTGTTTCGCAGTGGCTCTCGGCAGACACTGTTTGCTTCTCAGGTGATGCGTTATGCTGATCTGTATGCTGCCTCTTTCATCAACCTGCTCTACTACCCCTTCAGCTACCTGTTCAGAGCCGCCCATGTTCTGGTGAGAACACACACCCATAAACATAGGCTTGGATTAGTGATACAAATACCAATACAATAGCTGGTACCAATTCCTATGCCCCAGACTAATAATAATAATAATATCATTATTTAAGGTTAACTGTTCATATCAATACAAAAAAAAAGATATATAATAATTGTATGTTACCTTAATATAATATTTGTCAATTAAACATGCCTATCTGCATAGTTTTAAGTAATTCTTGAAATATAGTGTCAGTAATAAAAGCTAATAAAGAAAAAAGAAATACATTAAAGTGAGTGTCTGGGCTTTTCTTTTTCTTGTAAAAGTTGTTGTTTGATTAATATGCAATGCAATATTTTTATTATATTTGCACATGTGTCAAAATAATGGATTTGTGTCCAAATATAATAAAAATCATTGCATTGCATATTAATCAAACAAATGTTTGAACATTTGTGTACTGTATGAACTATCAAATGCACTTTTCATTGTCAAAATGGCCATCTTGGCAAGACATTGATGAAGAGACAGTTTGGTCTGGTGAATGTAAACTGGAGAAATAAAACACTGCACGTGTCAAAATACTGGATTTGTGTCCAGTGTTTTATTTCTCCAGTTTACATTCACCTGATCAACTGTCTCTTCATTAATATCTTGCCAAGATGGCCAATTTGACAGTGAAAAGTGCATTTGATAGTTCATACAGTACACAAATGTTCAAACATTGGTTTGATTAATTATTTCATTCGGCAAGGATGCATTAAATTGATCAATAGTGACAGTAGATACTGCTCTTATGAACCTTTTATTCTTCAAAGAATTCTGAAAAAATGCATCACTGCTTCCACAAAAATGATAAGCAGCACAGCTTTTTTTTAACATTGATAATAATAATAAATGTTTCTTTGAGCACCAAATCAGCATATTAGAAAGATTTCTGAAGAATCATACGACACTGAAGACAGGAGTATGGCTGCTGAAAATGCTGGAATAAATTACATTTGAAAACATATTTAAATAGAAAACAAACTGTTATTTTAAATTGTAATAATATTGCGCAATATTATTGTTTTTACTGTATTTCTGATCAAATGAATGCAGGCTTGGTGAGCATAAAAGACTTTCAAAAATGTTTTTTTAAAAATCTTACCAACCCCAAACGTTTGAACGGTAGTTCAAAAGGTACTAGGCATAAGCGCAAGTTCTACAAGTCAGGCGGTACTAAAAATAGAAAAGCCTGGAGTGAAAAAACTAATATGGTTACATATTTCTAACTCAAGTATCGACTGGTACCGAAATACCGGCTTTGCCTACACAAACACACCCATGGTTTTCCTGTTCACTTGGTTCTCTCTTCTGTGCCTAATGACCTATTTAACCTGTTACCTGTTAAGCATGTTTGTTTTTTTCCTTTTCTCTTTCTTAGATGCCCCATGAGTCCACAGTGGAGCACGCCCATGTAGACACAGAGACCGAGTCTCCTCTGGCCACACGCAACCGCCACTGTGTGGACTGCAAGGACATCGACTGCAAAAGAAACCAGCTCACACGCTCTATTAGCGAAATCAAACCGCCCCACCTGTTCGCTCAGCCGCCACAGGAAATCACACACTGCCACGATGAGGATGACGATGAAGAGGAGGAAGAAGAGGAGGAAGAGTAGATGTTTTGGCCTATTCTAGGGTAAAGATACATAGGACGATGATGAGAGAGTGATGATGGTGATATCGAGTGAGGTAGAAAAGGAGGAGTGGATGTATGAAGTAGACTATATTTGCCAGATCAAGCTCAAAAAGCTGATGTTCATAGTAGAGTTCAGTTCACCCTCCAGTAAAGATGACTAAAGAGAATGAACGAAAGTTTGTTCGAAACACGTTGGATGGTATCTGGAATCGTTTATCAGTCACTATATAAGCACATGTGATAAACATCCAATGGAAAAACAGCGGAAGGACACTCATGAGTTTACATGAGACTGTCATGTATGTATCATACATGTAGCATGTTGGCTAAATCTTGCATTAACGTTCATACAAAGACTCACTCCGTTAGGATGCGTGTTTAACTCAGTTATTGGTTCCTTAAGGGTACTCAACTTAGTTTATAGGTATGTTATAGTCCGATTTTTACTATTATTTTATAGTTTTTTTTTATCAGTTTAGACAACTTTTGAGTTGCCAGTCCATCCAGTCAGATTAACTTCTTGGTTACTACCTCCTGCAAAGGCTGTATACAATAATTGTCCCTTTGAAAAAAAAAAGTGTACGTGTGTGTATGTTGGCAGAGTGTCTGTGTTGAAGTTCTGCATGTGTTGGGAATCTAAATGAAGCACAGAAAAACCGAAGCATGGTTCATTGTGACGTGCATGAGGAAATGCGGCCAACACAAGAATCCAGTTACTTGGCAACAGCATGTAGCCACTTTTTTTTTTTTTTTTTTTTAGAGGTTCGCTGTTAACCTCTTGTTTTTCATCCTTTTTAATGCAGACGGTTTGGCTAGAGCTAGTGCTACAGTGTAGCGAACAGATGCCTGTCTTATTTGGGTTCACATAGTCGCAAAATGATCTAAAACACACACAGACACGTCATTTCAACACCTGTTATATGTCACATTAAACAATGACATTCTGTATTTTTATACTCCTTCATGAGCTAAACAGAACGGTTTGGTTTTGTTTTTGCCTGACAGATGCAAACTATTCAAACATCATATACATAGACAGTAAGTGACCTTGATATGCAAAAATAAAACGTATAAAACTGTTTTATGGCCTGAGCAGCTTGTCGAGATGTATCGGTCATTGAGAAAATAGTAAAATGAAGTTAACAGCTGGGCATTCTGAAACTGAGAAAGAGAGTGCTGTTGCTCTGGTGACTGTTTCTATGGAAATTAATGTAGTCCTGGCTAATGTGTGAACTCTGTTGATGGTTTACTCCCATGTGGACCAAAACGGTGTCGAGAAATTGGGTTTGATTTAGCTTGAAGGGTCTCATTAGACACTTTTAGGTGTCCCCACAGGAAGTATGTGGAGGTTTTAAGAAATAAATGTGATTCTTGAGTGTTACGGTGAGTCACGGTTTAGGGAGGAAGCGGTTTTAGCGCTGGGAAGTGTTCCAAGTGCACGAAACAGGTATTGGGATGTTTAGTGTGACTTTTATATGCATTATTCAAAGATAATAGTAGGTAGGCTCTGATTGAATGAAGCTACCCAATCCATAGTGTAACATGTATTACTCGTATGCATATTGTAACTGTATGTTCTTTGCTTTTTATTTCAGAGAATGTAGTTTTTCATGGGTCTGACTGTCAATTTTTAAAAGGGTAAGACCAAGTAGGTCTTATAGTATAAAGTTTTGTGGTTAGGCACAAAAATAAAATAGTTTTCTAGGTTTTCAAGCATTAAATAAGTTTAGAGATATTTTTAAATGTACAATGCATATTTTATCTGTGTCAATTTCAGTTTGTAGTTTAAAAACAACTGGACATCCTAAAATGGGGCAGCTCTTGTTCTCGGTCCCAGTCTTTAGAGACTGCAGTATAGAGAAAGTGTTTGTCCTTCAAGATCCAGCATTTCTCTTTCCTCTGGTTTCATTTGCTTTTTATACAAACTCAGCATTGTATATAATATGGCTGGCTCCCTGGACATGGATTAAAACTAGTCCTGGGCTAATTTGCACTGGTGTTGGCTGTTGTCCTTTTTAGTTGTCTATGCAAGGGACACTGGCTTAGATTATATTTAAGAATAATATAATAGAAAAGGCATCGAGTTTAAACAGTATTCATCCGATTATCCCAGTAGTCATTACCTCCTTAACGGGTGAAGAGCTCATCCGTTTAGTCATAGATAGCATTGCATACAACTGTTTCGACCAGTGTTTTCATATTATATTTTGGCTTAGTTTACAGTTGCGTGTTGAACATGCCAATAACTTATATACTGTATACAATAACTAATATACTGAGTTTTTCCTCCTTTCTATTTTTTACCTTTTTCCTAATTTCTGAAATCTTTTTTAGTTCATGATGTTTTTTGTGTGATTTTATTAGCTTTCAGGTGCAAAACGGTTGTATCTGTAAAAGAGATCAAGAGCAAAATAGCCATGGCATTTATTAATCCTGTTTCTTTTGTTTTGTTTTTTGTTGTCGTTTGTTTGTTTAGGGCATGTGATTTTATGTCTCCAAATTTTAATTTTGCTTCCTGAATTATGATCGTTTCTGATTTATAGAGTTCTAAACCTATATACAAATGGGAAATTGCATTGCAATGTAAAATAAATATAATTTTCCTTAATAAATTCCCCATTGGTCTCCTGTCGTGTTTACTTCTGAGAGCATTTTTTCTACTCTAACAAAGACAAGTCGGCCACTTGGATTCCATTTCTGATTTCTGTAATTTGTCCAAAATACTACCCATGTCTAAGTACTGCATATTGCACATTAAACATGGTATAAAACATTCGAACAAAATTGATCACGAGCAACATGGTTGAAAAATATGAGCCTGACATCAAGTCAGATCCATACTGAAAGCAAAAATGATGATGCAACAATCACAATCAATCAGAATATATTTGATGTTTAATATGCAAAAAAAAAGTGCAGAAAGAACACAGTACCATAGTGAAACTGATGAACGTTTAATAGCACTTTCTCTAGAACCATTTTCCTCCCTAGGTTTTACATTTTAGTAACAAAGTAGCTACAATTCATTAACAAAGCAAATAAGAAAAATAAATGTAAAAAGCCAGAACCTGTATTTAACCCCACAAGAGCATCTTTCTAAAAAAAAAAAAAAAAAAATCAAAGTAGGCTTTTATTTACTAAATAAAACCCAACAATCTCTGATCTCACCTCTAATGTAAAATCTTTGGTATAAAGAGCAACAATTTTAAGATACCTTATCAAGGTTGAGCTTGGCTAAATTGTTAGACCGTAGTGCCAAGCAGTGGCTGTCTGTGGTACTGACCCATGTATAAATAATAGAATACAACAAGTAATGCATTCCTGTTATTTATCTGTTAAGGTTCAAGTAACCATTGGAACACATGAAAACATCTAGGGAGAAGTCTTAAAAGCTGCCTGAATCAGATTTACCACAAAGTCTGACATTGTAGAAACAGGGTCACGCAGCTGCCACCTATACGAACATATAGGAATAGTTATTGGAATGAGTTTTATATGCTGTTTGTTGATAAGCTGTTTTGGGTCTCTGAGGATATGGGAGGGGGAAGCAAAGGGAAATGTGACCACTAACATTTCGGCAAAACCTTACTGCCACTATTGGTCATTTGGAGTACGGCAAAGGGTCACTTTTGTGGCAGTTAAAAGAGAAAATGTAAGTGGTTTATCATTAACAAAACAGTAAATTGATTTTTAAATACAACTGTATGCATAGCAGGAGTTTCCAGCGTTCATATAAATAACCATTGAAGTCAACATTACAGACATAAAGGTAATACAAGACTGAGTGGAGGAGCGACCTCTCTTACAGACGTGTGATGGGTATTACAATTTAATGTAGTAGTTGTTTTAATGACGTGGTAAAGACTCATTTTGTTACGGGCTGGATTCAGTTAGGAATCGCATGAATGCATATGGATTCTCCCTTGCATAAAGTCCTGAAAGGTCTTTGTGTTTAGTTCAAATAAGAAAGCGTTCGGCTTTAAATGTAAAGTTATTGTGCCTTTGACAGACTTAAACTTTTAAAGCAGACAAATAGGACCTGTTCATCCTTGGAAGTGAATCCAAAATATCAAATATACAAACATGATACAATGGATGCATACAAATAATCTATCGTTTACAATACAGTAATCATGATAAATCATTTTTTAAATAAAATGTGTTTCATTGCACTTGTTAAAAAAAATTAATAAGATTTTTAAAAGGCAATATAGTGATTCATTAAAAAAAAAAAAAAAAAAAAACGTGTAAAAGGTACTGTGGGATATAGAACAGTAAAAATGACCATTTCTGAAATATACATGTAAAAGACCCTCACCAGTACATATACAATTATGTTTTTGAAACTACGTATATATAGCATGTGCATGATATCAGTGACACTCATAGAGGCACACATGCACAACGTACAGACAGGTGTTTGCATGTGCCGACAATTATATCCTCAGACATGCACATATGTACAAATGCATACAAAATAAATAAATATGTGAGTAGAATGCTCTTGGTTCACGGTTTCCTTCAAAGCAGTATTTGGAGCAGTCTTTGATTTACCCTATTACAGAATCTGCCTGGAGTATTTATCCTGTGTTTGTGAACATGACAGGGCAGTTTGAGTGTAGCTGGAGGGGCTCGTCCGAGCACAAGACTGTCCATCCTCCAAACTCTTTGGCTGGGGGGACATAAACACTGTGGTTTATCTGAAATCTTAACAGGACCGAAGCATGTCACTGGACTATCCCATTTTGCCTTGGGTCAACCCAAGCTCTGGCCCCAGTAGTACTGCACTACCAGATTAGAGTTGTTTGGGGTGGTGAGGCAGCTCTAGATGGCCCCCTCACTGTGTCCTGTGTGGTTCGACTTGATGTGGGCGACGCAGTTCTGTGTCTGGTTGAACAGAGCGGTGGTTTCATCGGTCACTCCGTCGTGGAGCTCTGTCAAAGTCATTTCGATTTTGGTGTACTCGCTCTCTGAGGACTGTGGCGTCTTGTCAATACGTGATGCCATGACGGCGTTCTGATACTGCTGGCGTGTTACCTGTCAAAACACACGGGAAAGGGGGTTACAAAAAAAACCCTTTTGGAACATCTTACACTGTGTCCTCCTAACCAGATGGCGCAAACACGGGATAAAAGGTATTTTTCCATGGCAATCAGAGCTTTTGTCCTCGCCAGCCATGACAACAAGCGTTTCTATTTCAGAAGCAGTTTCTATATCTGCGACGTTGCAGCTGGAACAACAACAACATACAAACTATGACAATGATAATCTCAGGTACTGATTATGTGCTTTGTTTAATGTTAAAAGGGTCTATTGTGGGTCTATATTTTGAATATAATTATACATGACCTTTATAGCCATACTGAAGCAACAATACATAGTTTACTTCAGATCTTGCAAATAAATTAAAGGATACATAAACATCTATTCAGACAAATATGATGCTCTTCTGGTTGGCTGTGATTTGCGATTCCTTTTTTCTCAGAGAAAAGTGTGGCATGTCTGGTAATAGCCCCCTACACATCAATCCCGGTAAATTACCGTAAAAATGCCAGAACGACTTTACCGGTAAATTAAAAAATGTGCTGTTCACACAAGCAACAGCGTTCTGGCTTTTTACCGGTAACAGACCATTCACACATCAGTTCCAAAATACTGGTAAACTCTGATGATGTAATTAACCGGAAGTGTATGCCTTGTTCCTGAAGAAGGCTAGTTATTTTATCATATGTGACAGTATCGCTAACTGTTGCCGACAAATCTCTTCATCCGCCCAGACGAGGAGAAGAGCTTTAGTTTCGGTATCACTCCAATTTGAAGACATTTGTAAACAGTCCTGGGTAAACGTGTCATCTGCGTCATAATTTCATGACTGGCCCAGAGCAGTTGCTCTTTCAACGGCTTCTGATTGGCCCAAATCACTTTTTACGTCAGCTCGTTCTGTGAATGTGTGTTGTATTGGAAGGATGTGGACCTAGGCTTTGTTGATTATGATCAATCTAAAAAATGTCATTTTTATGTAATTAATATGATCTTGTTACTACCAAAATTCCATATTCATAAATCTAAATATCTATCTAAAAGTCAAATCTCTCTTTCTTATATTTGTGAAAGAACTTGAAAAATACCTCTTTTCAATTAAATTGTCTGAGAACAAAAAAGCCTTAAAAACGTTATCTGTTTGTAATTCTTTTCCTTTTTTCAGTGTCATGTAATTCTCATAATTTGTCAATATGTTTAATTTATATTATTTCCCCCATTGTTTTTATTTTTGTTGAGTTTTTTGTTTGTTTTTTTGTATTCTATTGTTATCTCTTATTATTTGTGTATTGTTTTAAGCATTAATAAAAAATACCGGTAATCTTCATTCCGCGGTAATTTACTGGTAATGTTGCATATTCGTTTACTGGTAAATTGCCGGAACCAATTTACCGGTATTTTTTCAAATGTCCTGTACACACATGATCTGTCTGAACCCCAAGACCCACAATGGCACCAAAAATGCGCAATGAATGTCTTCTGAAGAATTACATTGATTCTGATTGTCTTGGGCATGTTGATTATGTTATGTAATAAAAAAAAAAATACATGTTCATTAACTGCAAGTGAGTTGGCATGTTTGAGCAATTCTGTTTACCTTAATGTACTGTACGTCTGCCACAGCTCTGACAGAATAGTCTGGCACATAGATCTGCAGGAAGGCATTGAGCTGGTTGTTACTGCTGCCCAGTGACGGTGTGATGGATTCAATCCGCTCGCTACGATTTAACGAGTCAGAATGGTTCAGTCCAAATGGCCGAGGAGGGGATTTGTTTTCTGCAGAGGAAAAGGGAAAGCATTGTGACTTCAGTAATCAGGACAAACATAAACAAATAAAATCAAGAGCACGATAGGGAGGGGGGACACAATGTAAAACTTATCAGCCTTGCTCATGAATATTTATTTTCTGACCTGATGTAGCAACAATAGCTCAACCAATGACACGAATTAGGGGCGGGACTATCTGTCAGAGTAATGATAGAATTGGGGAGTGTTTCCAAACCTGTCTGAAAACTGCTTTATATTCTGAATGACACACTTTACAAATCAATTCATATTTAAGTACACTAGCACTTTTTAATAATTGATATGAATAAAAAAAATTAATAAATTAATATGTTTACTCAGCAAGCAAGCATTAAATTGATCATAAGTGACTGTAAAGACTTTAAAGATTTTGTGAGCAACAAATCATCATATTAAAATGATTTCTGAAGTATCACGTGACACTGAAAACTGGAGTAATGGCAGGAATGCGTCACAGGGAAAAAAAACATTTAAAAATATTTCACAATATTAATATTTTTACTGTATATTTGATATAATAAATACAGCATTGGTGCGTAAAAGAGACTTCTTTCAAAAACCTTCAATTTTTACAGACTCCAAACTTTCAAACAGTAGTGTATGTTTGTAGATGTTTATGGCTTTTTAGTACACTGAACCCTTTAATGACTAGAACTTCAAATCCAGCTTTATAGAGAATAATTAGCACAGGGTATATTATGATTTTATAATAGCTTGTAACAGCTTTTTAGAACTCAATAATTGCATTGCTAGTTATGAAGGGGGTGTTTCATGTATGTAAAAGGGTTGCCGCTGGCAAGAGTATGAGACAAAGCCTAAGAGCTTTCAAAGTGAAGACTGGCTTGTTCTTTTAATTAAACACAGCTTATGTTTTCCACTTCATAAAGAGGGGGAATTTACAAGTGCACACACACAAACATATTGACTTTACTCACACACAAAATACTTGCTAACGGACACTCAAATAAGCACACTTCCACACTCCAGCACATATATTTATTCTTACTTTCTTTGTTTCTCTTACACATAAACGCACATACAAATACACACACACACACACACACACACAGGTTTCCACAGTGGGGTGTGTTAATGCCACAATTTGGTTGGAATGTATGTAATCCGTGTTTGGATGTGTGAGTGGAGTGGGGGAGCCACCGCGTCTTTAGTTCAAGGCTCCAATGCTGGCCTGAAGGGGCCCAACTCTGAACCCTACATGCTGGTAGTCAGCATGAGGTTTGTGAGAACCGGGAACAGTGTGTGTGTGTGCATGTGTGTGTGGGTGACTATGTACAGAGGTGTGTGTCTGTGTGTGTGCATATGACCCCGCTGTCGCCCTTTACTCCAGGAGGCCTGTGAAGTAAAAATGTGTGGGAGGAATTCTGTGGGTTTACTGTAACATATGGTATGATTTACAGTAAGAAAGTCACGATCTTGTCATTGTTTGATTAGTCATTTTGGTTTAACTATACCTGGAGATCCAGCAACAGACTCAGCCCTACTGACCACAAAGGTACGAGAAACTGCAGGGAAGAACAAGAATAGGAGGAAAAGAAAAGCATTAAAGAGGGTGGGAAACAAAAAGGTGACTTAAAGGTAGAACTGAAGAGCTATAGGAGTAAAGAAATCACAAAATAGCACTTGTTTTAATCCACATTAGAAACTATTCTCCATTCCCACATAACAAAGCAGTTTTAGTATTACTGTAGTCCCATTTTCTCACCACCAGAGGTCACTTATGTTCTGTGATAGTCCCCTAACTAGTGGCACATGTGACACTTGGTTCAAATTTGGCATAATATTCAACCCCTATCAATTTCTGATGGATCTATCTATGTTCAAAATTATTTGAAAATACCCTATAGTTATTTAAAAAAGTGTCAGTGGATACTTCCCCCCAAAGACTTTATATATTTATGTTCAGTTGGATCAATGAAATTTGCAATCTAGATAATATAACACTGGAAGAACTAGAAATAACATCAGTAAAAAGTCACTAGTCACAGGTCTACATTGCAGTTCTAAGTTGCTTGAAAAACTACAGTATATATATATTAAAGACCCACTGAAGTGCCTTGGAGCTCGCAGCTTTGTATGATGCATTGACGTAATTAGCACTGAAATAGCTAAGGTGGGACATATTTTCAAATCTGCTCCTCCCCCTTTTCAAATAGCCAATAGCGTTTAGTTTACCTCACAGACTGCAAGTAGTACCATGGAAGCGAATCTGAGTGCTGATGATATGTTGGATTCAATAGTAGAGGATTCATTCATTTCATTCTTAAGCAACATACAGTTGGAAAGCGGAATAAAACTCGAGCGTTTAAGCAACCAAACACACATCTCCAACCCATATTGCTCCATGACATGTCAACAGTCGTTTTGGCCAGGTGGTATTTATAGCATAGGGGGCGGGAGTCGCGGGACGCTTTAGATTCTAGAGAGCATTTGATTGGACAGAAGATGTGATGAGAAGCTGAAGTCCACGGTAATAAAAATCCGTGATCCATTTTAGCAGAAATGAGAGACTGTAAGTTTTGAATGCTTATATCTCCTAAATGCGAATTTTGTCATTGTTTTGGAACACACCAGCTTATTCATAACCTTAATGCTAACGTAGTCATACTAAAAGCTAAAGAAAACATACATTTTGATTTCAGGGGGCATTTAAACTATTATACTTGGCAGTATAATGATTTATTATGATTATGAATAAAAATAATAAAAATTTCCATTCATCCATCCATTTTCCAATTCGCTGATCTTATGCATGATTGCTATAATAACAATAATAATACATGTTATTATTTATTGACCATTAGTGTCTTTTATCATTTTTATTTATATACTAATCAATGCTGAACACTGATAGCTGCAAAAATACTGTGGAATACACAATATCTCAGTTGTTTCACAGATCTCTTGTGCAAAACAAATGATAGTCTCAAATTCTCTTGCCATTCTAAATGCCATGTGACCTCTGGTACAAAGCTTCTGTGACATGGTGTTATTTTCTGATAGTGTATACAATAATGCCTGACTGGGATTAGTGCATCATAGTACATTGAAAATGTCTCAGGTTACGACTGTAACCATAGTTCCCTGAGAAAGGGAACGAGACGATGGGAACGCCCCCAGCGTGAATGCGTCTGAGCATCAATGTCAACTAGTCCAATGGAAAGAATGAGCGTCACGGGCGGGTGACGTCATGACCAGGAAGGCATAAGAGCACATCCGGTGAAACGTGGCATTAGCTTCAAAAAGTCGAAGCAAGCCGATCACAGGGATTCAGGAAGTATGGCAGGGTGACGCATCGTCTCGTTCCCTTTCTCAGGGAACTATGGTTACAGTCGTAACCTGAGACGTTCCCTTTCGAGGGAACTCGCGATGCGTCATCGACGCTTTGGGAACGAGAATACCCAAAACGCCAGAATTCCAAGTACCTGAGTGTTAGTCTGTTGGAACTAAGCACTAAGCACCTGAGAACCTGGGGCAGCATCCAGGTCCAAACTGTAAAACCTGACGAACGTGAGCGGTGAGGACCAGCCTGCCGCATCACATACGTCTTGAAGAGAAACTCCAAATAATAAGGCTTTAGAGGCCGCCATACCCCTCGTAGAGTGAGCTCTGACCACCAAAGGACACGGCTGGTCAGAGTACTCGTATGCAAGTGAAATAGCCTCAACTATCCACTTACTAACCGTCTGTTTAGAAGCAGGAAGACCCTTCTTAGGTGATCCAAAGCAAATAAATAACTGGTCGGACTTCCTCATTGAAGATGTCCGATGAACATAAGTATCCAGTGCTCGCACTGGACACAAGAGGTTCAGCCTTTCCTGGTCCGCAGATGTAAAAGGAGGACAGAAACCTGCAGCACAATAGGCCTCGGAATAATGGTAGGCACCTTTGGAACATATCCATGTTTCGGGTAAGAATGCCTTGGCCATCCCCGGGTGCACTCAAGGCAGGTGGGGACCGAAAGGGCCTGAAGGTCTGACTCTAATAGGGACGAAATAGCTAGCAGAAAATAGTCTTAAAAGAAAGGAACTTCTCTGAGACCAAATCTAAGGGCTCGAAGGGAGCCCCAGATAGGCCTTCTAGAACTATTGCAAGGTCCCAAGCCAGCACCCTAGTGCAAGTTGCAGGCCTCAGCCTCAAAGTGCCACGAAGGAAACGAGTGATCAGGGGGTCTCGACCTAAAAATATACTACCCACCAGGGCGTGGAAAGCCGCAATGGCCGCCACGTATACCTTAAGCGTGGAAGGACATAGACCTGTTACAAAGCGTTCTTGCAGAAACTCGAATACTGTGTTTACTGAACAGTTAACCGGATCCCACTGACGCTGGTAACACCAAGAAGTGAAAAACTCTCGAAATAGTGAATATAGTTTCCTCGTAGCGGGAGCTCTGGAGCTTAGAATGGTCTCAACAACCTCGGTTGAGAGACCACTCTCTATGAGTTGGGCCCCCTCAGAGGCCAAACCCACAGTTTCCAAATCCCCTGCCGGGGGTGCAATATTGCATCCCCTGCCTGAGACAGAAGGTCTCTCCTGATCGGGACCTCCAAGGGAGGTCCGTCGAGGAGAAAAATTAGGTCCGCAAACCAAATTCAGCTCGGCCAGGGTGGTGCTACTAAATAGGCTTATTCCATCCTGGCGGAATCACTCCAGAACTCCTGGGAGCAGAGCAACAGGGGGAAATGCGTACAGACGTAGCCTCAGCCACGTCTGCACCATAGCAACCAGCCCCGAGGGGACTGGTTGAGTGAGGGATAACCAGAGTGGACAGTGCGTCGTATGCTGAGACGAGAACAAATCCACTTCTGCCTGGCCATAAAACTCCCATATTTGCTCCACCGCCTCGGGGTGGAGTCCCCTGGCCTCAGCCCCTGCCTCGACAGGGTGTCTGCTCCAATATTCTGGCCCCCCTGGAATATACACTGCGTAATTTCCTGAGGGACCAAAATAATAGGCCACCAACGTGTTGTCTGTGGGTCAAGAACCAGAGTTTCCTCCATATAACCAAGGCGCGGGGATACTGCCGCGTGATCTTGATCGTACGGAGTGGGTTTCCCCTCAGGGAGAACCCTCTGGTCCTGAGCCACCACTGTAAAGGTCTCACGTACAGCAGGTCAAAGGGTATCACATTGAACGCTGCTGCCCTGAGGCCTAACAGTCACTGTTTCAGAACAACACATGATGGCCCCTCAGGTCTGGGAGGAGATGTCTCAACGCATTGAAGACGACCATCATCTCTAGGCAATTCATGTGCCAAGCGAGATGATGACTCCTCCCAAGCCCTGAGCTGAGCGGCCTTCCAATACCGCTCCCCAGCCGGTGAGGGAAGCATCTGTCGAGATAGCAACTCGATGGCAAAGAGCTCCCAACACCGAACCCTGGGTTAAGAACCAGTGTTTCCTCCATATAACCAAGGCACGAAGGCACCGCCGCGTGATCTTGATCATACGAAGTGGGTTTCCCCTCGGGGAGAACCCTCTGGTCCTGCGCCACCACTGCAAAGGTATCATGTACAGCAGGCCAAAAGGTATCCCGTTGGACGCTACTGCCACAAGACCCAACAGTCTCTCGAACTGTTTTACAGTGCGTGACTGGCCTAGCCTCAGCTCTTTTGTGGCTGTTAGGATAGCAGCAACACGAACGGGCCAGAGTGGCCCGCATCGTCACTGAATCCCATACCACACCAAGGAAAGTGGTTCTCTGTACTGGAGAAAGCACACTCTTCTTGGCATTGAGCCTCAACCCCAACATCTGCATATGAGCGAGAACGACACCTCGGTGCCGAACCGCTAACTGTTCTGCCAGTCATCTATGTAATTCAGAATGCGTATACACTGCAGCCTGGCGGGGCCAGAGCTGCGTCTACACACTTCGTGAATGTGCGGGGTGATAGAGCTAGACCGAAAGGAAGTGCCTGATACTGGTGTTCTTTGCCCCAAAGAAAACCTCAGGAACCTCCTGTGCTGAGGGAGGATGGAGATATGGAAGTATACGTCTTTTAGATCTATCGTGACAAACCAGTCCTCGGATCTGATTTGAGTCACGATCTGTTTTTTAGTGTCAGCACTTGGACTTGAGTTCCAGCATCAAACACTCCAACAGACGAAGATCTAGTATGTGACGCAGCTCTCCATCCTTTTTTGGAACAATGAGATAAAGACTGTAAAGACCCGACGCAATGTCGGGTGAGTACACCTGCTCTATAGCTTTCTTTGCTAACAGGGCCTTTACCCCTTGCTCCATTACCAGAGAGATTACCATTACCCATAGAGATATATTTGGCAGTAGCTTCCGCGCTGCCAGAAAATCTACCAAGGGAACCAGCCCCTCGAGGCTGGCCTCTGGTGTAATAAAGACAGCCACCCGAACTGACTGTTTTCGAACCCCCCTCAGAGGGCGCGAGTCCGACACAATGTCGAGTTGACGCTGCGCCAGAAGCTCGCTGGAGAACGCTGCGCCCCGAAGCACCAAGGGTGGCGGGGTTGGCAGAACGGTCCCCTGAGGGCACAGAGATGGAAAGGGCACCGTATAATGAGGTGTACACCATTCCACCCCGGTTGGGGCTGCCCTCACCGGTCTGACGCCGTGGCGCCAGACCTTTTCTTTTGAGCCGCAGAGAACTATATATAATTCTCATACGCTGGGGGAGAGATGGCAAATCCACTTCCCCCATGATTGTGTCACTTTCAATGTCCAGCACATCTACCTCCTCGGAGGTAGAGCACTGAAGCATTGATTTCTCTCCCCGGGCGGAAGAGACCGCAGCGCGGGCTTCCGAGACCGGAGAGAGAGCACTGGATCCCTCGTGGAAAGGGAGGAGATAAGATCCGCGGACCCGTCTCCAACCCCGTAAAGAGATCCTATTCGCGATCCAAAGGAATGCATTCTCCGCGCTGCCTCGGCAGACGCGTGTCCTGCACCCTGAGGATCGCGAGCCTGGCCACTTTCCTCGAAAAGTGACAGGCGGGAGTGGAGCATGCGAAGCGAAAGCTTCTCACAATGTTGCAATCAGCCCCCTCGGAGGCTGATACCGCATGCTCCACTCCCAAACAAACTACACAAAGCTCGTGTGTGTCCCCACCCGTTAAATAACGCGGGCAGGGAGAAGCACAGAGTTTGTAAAGTTGTTTCGCCATAACTCTTCCCAATAATATCGAACAGACAACAATAAATAGACAGAGACAGAGTAACACAGATCGCTTGCTGAGACACAGAAGCTAATGCCGCGTTTCACCGGATGTGCTCTTATGCCTTCCTGGTCATGACGTCACCCGCCCGTGACGCTCATTCTTTCCATTGGACTAGTTGACATTGATGCTCAGACGCATTCACGCTGGGGGCGTTCCCAAAGCGTCGATGACGCATCGCGAGTTCCCTCGAAAGGGAACAGTATACCCGTGCATATACTTTTTGGGCTAATGCTGCCCACAACTGCTTGCACTGTTGCAGGGTATGTGGGTGTATCTTGTGGTATCGACTGAATTTTGTATTGCAGTATTATTATTTTTTAAACCAGCATAAAACCTCTAATGTAAAATGTGTAATTTTTCTAAAATATTTAGGCCTACATTTAAGATTAATGTATTTAAATTGCATTGGTTTACAGTTTTAACATTAACAAGAAAGTTAAACGGGCAAGAAACCAGCAAGATTTCTGCACTCCCAAAAAAAAAATCATGGAATAGTTTTTAGTAAGTTTAAGTTTATTGTCCTATCGTAACTTCTATTTGATTTTATTTGTATAATCATATTTTCAAAAAAGCGTTTATTCAAATGGCTTAGATTAAGCACAAATCTGTTCATTTTGAAAACAATTACATTTATTCAGTTAAAAAGTATAAATACATCTAGCTATGGAACAAGTAATATTCAATTAGTTAGAGTGTATGATGTATGTATGATTAAAAAAAATGGACTTATTGATGAAAAATATATAAACCTGGTAATTGTGTATTTAAAACACATTCAGTTTATGTATGTTACGTTTTATGTATGACAGACAAATATGCATCATATTAAGTTTATTAGTTTATGTTAAAACTGTGTAATCCAAATCTAAGAAAATTTTATATGAAATTCAAACACATAAATCTTAAATACCAGTAAGTACAGCGCACATAGCATATAGGTTACTTTGTAGAAATGCTGTATGCAAATGAATGTATTATTTGTATTTACCTGGAGAAGCGGTGAGAGCCATAATCCCATACGAGGAGAAAGCTCCAGCTTCAAACTTCATTCCCTCCTTCCCTGCCTCCACTTCCACCTTCCCCTTAGAGAACAGATCACATTGAAGGCCAGACTTTCAATACAGCTAAGATTTTTTTTAAATAACTTTAAGTGGATAGTTTTACAACTAATGGGATTTTTTTTTTGCAAAAGAAGGCTTTCAGTAATTCCTTTAGAAGCATGTCTGTCTTTAACTATACTCACTGAACTAAACATCCTTCTTTTACGTAGGTACCCTAGTTCTTTCATACTGGGCGTGTTAAATACTTGCGAAAATCCCAGCTTGTTCTAGGCTAATGACCTCAATCCTTTCTCTCTATGCCCTCCACGGCCCTGGACCAAACAACCAAGCTGACCTGCAGAATGAGGATGAAATAGTCCACGGGCTTGTTGCGGTGGAAAAGGTAATGCTCGATGGCCTTCTTATTCTTCTCATTATATTTGACCTCCTGGATGACGTTGGGGTGCTTGAGGAGACGCAGAAGGATCTTCTCAGACATCTGGATGGGACTGAATAACTCAACTTCTGTAAGGCAAAAGAAGACATGACATCATCTTCCTGTTCCTGTGGGTTTTTCACAATTGAAACGGTTACCTCAGAGCCATTCTAAACCATGGTTAAAGGTAATATTGCATTTTCAGGTTTCAAAACATCACACGGTAGTAAACCCTGGGTAAATGATGCTCTAACATTATTATTTTTTGGACGAACACAGCTTGTGGCAGGCAAATCCTCTGTTTTAATAACTGCTTATCCATCGGTGACACTGTTCTGACTGTTTAAAGTATTCTGAAACTTACAAAAGCAAAAACAAATTTTCATTCCTGTTAAAACCGTCAGCTTTCAACATTGTATTGTTCTCTGAAAAGCTGAAACTTAACAGAGCCTGAAAGTTTCTGTGACTACAAAGCTTATGAATAAGCACTGTTGTCTCTATTATGATGGTTGTCTGTTGCTAAATAACTCACTGTAACATTGTTCTGTTTACAGTATATGTGTCACCTGGCAGCTGGTCGCTCCTTGACCAGGGAACGCTAATAGTATTGTATTTGTTAATCAATGATTAGCGTAAGCCACAAAGGGGAAAGTTTTTACCAAATCCTGGAATTAGGTTTAAAGGGGAATATCACTCAGAATGGTTTGTCTCTATTATACACAAACACCCTTGGGACCATTTAACAGCAGCTTGATGGAGTAACGCAAAGGAGGGTAATGACTTGTAGGGGGCTGTGCCAAATGCCTGAAGATTTCTAGAAGAATGCAAGAATCAGCAATACAGGCTGCATTTATTTGATCAAATATTACAGTAAAACAACTTTAAATAACTGTTTAAGGACATTTTAAAAAGTAGTTTATTCCTGTGATGCAAAGCTGAATATTCAGCAGCCATTAATATAGCCTTCAGTGTCACATGATCCTTCAGAAATCATAATGATATGCTGATTTCAGCTCAAGAAACGTTTATTTTTATTATCAATGTTGAAAACAGTCATGCTGCTTAATATTTTTTGTGGAAACTGATATATTTTTTCAGGATTCATTGATGAATACAAAGTTGAAAAGAAATTTGAATTAAATAAATTTGATGCATTCTTACCGAACAAAAGTAACATTTTCTTAAAAAAAAAAAAAAAGACGAAAAATTGACTGACCCCAAACTTTTAAACAGTAGTGTAAATGGCTACTAAAAAACAGCTTACAGGAAACAAATTACAGATTCAGGCAGACACGGGTTTGTTGCAGTGGAAGAGGTAATGTCTTAAAATAAAACATTTATTTACACTAATATTAACAAATGTATTCTATACATTATAAATATCAAGTGCTTTCTAGGAGACACATAGACCATGAAACAAAATGTGGTAGCTATGCGAGAGATGATCTCTGCTGTGAAAAACAACAACAAAGTTTTTAATTACTTTTTTCAGCTGTTTGCTGGCTTTTTCCAGGGCTTGGAGATAGAGATAATGTTTGTATACACTAATAAAGCAGGCCACCACACTCTAAATATAGCCCAAACCTTAGTATACACAAACAACATCAACATCATGACTTCCACCAAAAACTGCCGTCATTTACCTATTAAAAAAGTTTTCTCTTAGCTGCTTGCAAGGTTTTTAAGGTACAGGAAGTCATTCTTCTATACACTAACCCAAACAAGCTGCTTCTTTTTAAAAGACATCATGGCATGACTTTCACCAAAACCAGAGGCAAAGCTCCTCCCCTGTGTGAGCACCCTAACCATACTACAGTCACAGGACACACTGGGGTAAATCAAGCAGCAATGCAGTGCACTTGCCTGTTGCTAGGAAACGCAGAGTAGCCAGTAGAAGCTGAGGTGATATTTTAACCTTCATTTCATTGTCCATGTGCTTGAAAGCCGAGAAATCCTGCTTCCGCTCTCGATGGGCGATTTTCTTTTTTGTTTTGTTGTCGGCTGTCAGAAAAATGGGATGACAGAGGAAGAAAGTTTTTAAATTAAATTCTTGAATGATGTGTAAAACATCTTGCTTCATATGTTTGTAAAAATATTTGCAATGACACCTAAAAGGGTTTTTGGGTAACACTTTACAACAAGGTTCCATTTTTTAACATTAGTTTACCACATTGGTTGACATGAACTAACAAGGAAAAATACTCTAAAGCCTTTGTTAATCATAATTAATGTTAATTTCAACATTTACTAATACATTGTTAAAATCTAAATTTGTATCTGTTAATATTATTGAATGGACCTGAACTGACATGAACTAACAATTAACAGTTTTATTTTTAATAACTAATGTTAACAAAGATTAATAAATACTGTGGTTAGTTAATGTTGCATAAACTGTAACACTGATTGAAGAAGACAAAGATGATTAGGAAATAAAACAAGATTTATTAAATAACTAAATGAATAGGCAGGCAAATAACGATCCAAACTATGTGAGACGGTGTGCTACGCACAAACAATACCGGACAATGATTGATACAAACAGAGGAACTTAAATAGACAGATAATGAACTAAATAAGAAGCTGTGATAATTGAGTTAGTGTCCATGGAAACAGATGAGTGGCAGGAAACTGAACAAAGGAAAACATGTGACTGAAAATAACAAACTAAAAGTCCATGAAAATGAAACTAAGATCAAAATAGCATCCAAATAGGACAGAACTGTGACAGTACGTCCCCTGCGAAGGCGACCTCACGCCATAACAGATGCGGTGAGGGAAGAAAGGTGGGGGCTCCGGGGGTGGACGAGGAGCCGATGAAGGGCTGATGAGAGGAGATGGCGAAAGGCTGGTAAAAGCAGGCAGGACAGACCAAGGAGTCGATGATGGAGGAAGAAGCCAAGGAGGAGATGATGGACGGAGTAGCCGGATGATGATGACCCAAAGCTCAGCCAAGATGATAGCCCACGGCGGAGCCAAGATGTTGATGTGGCCGACGACATCCGCAGGACGACCAACGGAGACAGAGCCGATGTTACGGGATCCAAGGGCGCAGACAGAAAGCTGATGGACCTAAGCGACGCAGCTAGTGCTGGAGACCAAAGCAGAGCTGCGGCAATGATCGTTTGAGGTGTAACCGGAGCATCCGAGGACTGAGGCGAAGCAGATGTGACAGAGGCAGACTGATCTCATGAAATGGCGTATGTATGACACGCCAATTCGTATTTCCATTTTTGGCGTGCTATCAACACGCATAATCGCTTTTCAGCGTGTTTATCAACGCCTTTGACTTAACGTTATATTACTGTATTATGTATATATAAATATATGACCTACCCCAACCCCGTCCCTAAACCTACCCGTCACTGGGGTTAATACCATTTATGAGTCTTCTCCTACCATCCTAGGAAAAGAAATATCGCTCCACAGATGTAGATATAGATTTTGCTTCGTTTCGCTCGGACATTTAACGGCGTACACATACACGCGGAATCACTCGGACATTTAATGGCGTAGACATACACGCAAAAGATTTCGGCGTGGACATACACGCGGATAGCTCAAAATGCGTATAGATAACACGCCACTTGACTTGAAAAGTGGCGTGTATGTTTACGCAAAGTCATGATGTCATGTTGACAGAGGACCCAGGTGGCCGGAGGGAGGGCGGAGCCCGCTGGAGCCGAAGGGGTGGAGAGCCGGAGCGCCGCGAATGGATTGTAGGTCCGCAGCGCAGGCAGAGTGACGGCTGACCGAGGTGAAGCCGGAGGGACGAGAGAGCCTGGTGGAGCCGCAAGGCCAAGGATCTCAGGTGGAGCCGAGGGTGGGAGGAGCCAAGGCATCGCTGACTGGTCGACGGGCAGAGGCGGAGCGGAGGGATCAGCGGCCGTAAGCAGAGCCGAGGGATCCTAACGCTTAGGTGAAGCTGGTGAGAACACGCTTGAGACTTGACAACGTCGCAAGGTGTCACAGGGGAAGGTGAAGGGCTGCAGGAAACCAGCTGAGGCAGGGCTGAAGGACTGGCTGAGATCTACAGTGGAGGTGGGAGAGGAAGGCTCACTGGTAAATCCCTGTTTTTGCTGGGTGAGGATACTGTTTTGCCGCTGGCTAGAACCAGTGGTGATGATAGTTCTGATGATGCCTCTGATGATGAAAGGACAGGGTGGGAAGCACCGCTTCAAAGTCCCAATCAATTAGACAGTCTTATGTGTCGAGCTCCACCAGGACTGCTACCTGGACGATGTTTGGCAGCTCACACCCCTGGTCAGACTTATGCTGGGGCTTTGGCTCCGGGATGTTATTAGACGCTGTTGTCACAGGCTCAGTGTTTGCGGCGGGAGGAAGCTCTCCGTCTGCGGGGGGTACTGGTGTTGTCGTCTCCGTGGTTAGGGATGGTGGTGGGCTGGGCTCTGGGTCTGGCTATGGTCTGGTGGATGATGGCCTCCTTCCAATCAAGTCATGTGGTGTCTGGGAAGTCTAGAGGATAGTAGTAGTTTGCCCGACCCAGAAGAGAGACTTTAACGTCTCATCATCAAAGGCAGTCTTTAAAGCAAGCTGACAGAACTGAAGCGAAAAGTTCATTAGAGGAAGCCCTTTTCGGGCAAGGGCGGCAGATTGCGCAGCATTATCCATTCTTGGGTCCAGTATTCTGTAACGCTGATCCGAAGACGGCAAAGAGTATTAGGAAATAAAACAAGATTTATTAAATAACTAGGCAGGCAAATAACAATCCAAACAATGCGAGACAATGAACTCAATAAGCAGCTGTGATAATTGAGTTAGTGTCCATGGAAACAGATGAGTGGCGGGACAAAGGAACACATGTGACTGAAAATAACAAACTAAAAGCCCATGAAAACTAAACTAAGATCAAAATAGCATCCAAACAGAACAGAACTGTGACAAACTAAAGTTAACTAATGGACCTTATTGTAAAACCATTCACCATTAAATCCCATGTGACATGATGAAATGGCCACCAGGTATACTTTGACCGTAGAGAAGGCCTTCCCTTCATGTAGTATCTCCTGAAGGAAGGAAAGAACTGAGGAAAGGAAAGGAATGGTATCCTTTGTTTTTCCTGACACCATGCTTAAAATTTTCACCACTTTGCCTTATATAGAGATCTGGTGGATTGCGCTCTAGCACTCTGGATGGTAAAAATCACATTCTGGGGCAGGCCTAGAGCATTCAGATTAAACCTCTAACAAGCCAGACCCAGAGATTTCACCTCTGCGGATGTGGATGAAAAATCCTCCCTCCTGCTAGGACCTGAATACAGCAGTTGAACTATCTCCTCTGCCCATGGCCTCCATGGCTATAATGGAGCTATTAAGAGCATTATTTCTCTCTGCCACCTGATTCTGGACAGAGTAGGGAGGATGAGTCTTATAGGTGGGGATTATGGGGCTTATAGGTGGGAAGGCATTTAACAGGGTCTCTGGCCAGGGATGTGCTAATGCATCCATCCCATGACACAACTGTCTCCTTCAGTGAGAAGAACAGAGGACAATGGGTGTTCTCATCTGAAGCAAACAGATACACATCTGCCAGGCCATATTCATCCAATACCTCCTGAACCACCGCTGGTTGCAGCCTCCATTCCCCTGGGTGATAATTGCCCCTCGACAACTGGTCTGCCCCAATATTGACTAAGCCTGGAACGTCTGCTGCTCTTAGGGACAGCAAGTGTTTCCTGTTCCATTGCAGCACTCTCCTTGCCAGGGCATGCAGATTTCTCGAGCAGCTGCCTCCATGCCTTTATTTATAAGAAACAACTGTTGTGCTGTCTGATCTGACTAACACATTAGCCTTTTATTTGCAGGAGGAAGTGTTTAAGAGCCAAAGATATTGCCAGGAACTCCAGACAATTTATATGTATTAGTTTGACTGGTTCTGTCCATACTTCACTCCCTCCAAGATCGCTCCACAGCCCTGTGAGGACACGTCTGTAGTGTCAACCTTGCAGTCTGAAATCACTCCCATTGACAACCCCTCCCTCAGGAATTATTTGTCTCACCAAATGAGCAGAGCCCTAAGACAGTGGGTTGAGACTTGCACCTTCTTGTGCAGACATATGGAGGGATTTAATTCCAGAGAAGAGGTCCATCTCTGACAATATCTCATGAAATGAACAACAGCCCCAAAAGCCCTACTGCTATGACTGAAGCCATGAGTCCCAGTCATATTAAAAGCCGAAAAGAGATTGTCTTCCCCAGGCGAAACTGATTCACACAGTTCCATAAACTCTCCCTTCTCTGCTCCGAGAGGGTTGCCCAGTAAGTTATTGAGTTCAGGTCCAAACCAAGAAATACCACTAATTGTCTTGGGGTTAATAAGCTCTTCCTCTGGTACACTACGAATCCCAAATAATTCAAATGTATTAATACTGCCCATTTATGCACCCCTGCCATCTCCCTTGATCTGGCACATATTAACCAGTTCTCAAGAAATGCTGATATCCTTATGCCCTATTGTCTCAATGGCGTCCATGCCACTTCCACACATTTTGTGGAAATGCAGGGTGCTGGAGAAAGGCCAAACCGGAAAACCCTGAACTCATATGTTGTGCCTTTGAACGCAAACCTAAAGAGATTGTCTGTGCTGGGGATGTGAAATAGGCATCATTTAGATCGATTAAGGTGAACCAGTCTCCCCTCTGAACAGAATGAAGCAAGAATATTTGTGTCAGCATTGTGAACATCTAAGGTCCAGAATAGGGCATATGCCTCCCCATTTCTTTGGAATAAGAAAATACTGACTGAATAATCCCTTCTTTGATTTCTCTGCCGGTATCACCTGAATGGCTTCTTTGAGAAGGAGATAATTTGTTTCCTGTCTCAAAATGTTTGCATTCTCTCCCTGCACTTTTGACTGTCTTATCACTGAGAAACCCTGGGGTTCTCTCTCAAATTGCAGTCTGTATCCCCTTTGGATTCTGCTTAATAACCACTTGAAGTCTGTGCAAGCAAGTGTGACATGCTTTCTACCAGTGCTGTGGGTGGTGTTCTGACCAATACAGTTTCTACAGGGTGCTTGTGTATAACAGTATTGTGATGAAAACAATCGCTCTTCATGAGATTGTCCATGATAAAATTGCCTGGATTTAGAAAGGGGAAAATACAAGAGGCCACACTGTGTTTTTGTGTGTAAACTGCTTTATTTGATTTGACAACACAGGGGAAATGAGTGTGTGAAAGTACTTCTTGATATTCTGTACTCGACCCCGGGGTGTGTGTGGTTGTTGGTGAGTACTTTAGTTTCACACCACTGTTCTCCGGGGAATTTGCGGAGACAGCAAGAAAAAGATTTGGGTTTGTGAAACCGCCTGTTTCTTTCTTCTGCCCCTCGCAGCCAAGGTGGGTGGGGGCCTGGCCTTTGCCACCTGATCAAAGGACTTTCGTTGCCAGGAGGAAGGTTGTTTATCCTGTTCATACAGAACCCCCATCCCTTCTCAAAAATCAATGCTGACAACTGACCAGATCTTTGAGGTGGCTTAGGGGCGACAGTGGATAATCTGAATGCCGATGAGGGAACCAGATGGCCTGTCAACGAGGCCTTCATTGGCGACAAGTGAGACCAGCCCATTTCCTGCACTCCCCCCCATGTCTAGCAAAGAAAAGCCATACACCGGGACTCTGGATAACAGTGGTCTTTCCCAGTATTTCATCCATGCAATTCTGGAAAGGTGGAAGTCTCTGATGAACTGTCAAGGTGGTAGGAAGGAGGAAATTCCTGTCTTGCCTTCAGCATTTCAACCGGTTCACCACCCGATGGAAAGCCTCGTGCAGAGTTACACACCCTGCTGCCATTTGCTGTTCGTCTACCGCTGTAAGATAACCCGGGGATTCTGTTTGGGGAACAAACAGATCTTCCAAGGCAGCGATGGAAATGGAATCGTCATCCGGTAGGAATGGTTCGATTTCCATCTCGAAAGCGACCGGTTCCCCAAGCACGTCCGAAGGAGTAAGCTGGTCAGCCTAACTTGTTATCGACATAGGAGATTCTGTGTCCTCCGGAGATGCCGTGCTGTCTCTCCCCTGTAAGGGATTGCAATACACGTCATGTACACCACTCTCCTGCGCAGCACTCCAGGTGAAAGTTTACTGCACTCCTTACAGGAGATTGGTGTCTGTATTGCTGCTTGGGCATGCCCTGGGCTCAGACATGCCAGGCATACGACATGCGGATCCCTAGTTGCAATAGTTGTGATTCACATCCCCTAGGACAATTGTGAGAATGTGCTCTGGACTTGTTAGGCTTCATAAAAGAAGTGGTAAGTTTCAAGTGGTAAGTTAACTTTTTGTCTATTATACACTCACCTAAAGGATTATTAGGAACACCATACTAATACTGTGTTTGACCCCCTTTTGCCTATAGAACTGCCTTAATTCTACGTGGCATTGATACAACAAGGTGCTGACAGCATTCTTTAGAAATGTTGGCCCATATTGATAGGATAGCATCTTGCAGTTGATGGAGATTTGTGGGATGCACATCCAGGGCACGAAGCTCCCGTTCCACCACATCCCAAAGATGCTCTATTGGGTTGAGATCTGGTGACTGTGGGGGCCATTTTAGTACAGTGAACTCATTGTCATGTTCAAGAAACCAATTTGAAATGATTCGAGCTTTGTGACATGGTGCATTATCCTGCTGGAAGTAGCCATCAGAGGATGGGTACATGGTGGCCATAAAGGGATGGACATGGTCAGAAACAATGCTCAGGTAGGCCGTGGCATTTAAACGATGCCCAATTGGCACCAAGGGGCCTAAAGTGTGCCAAGAAAACATCCCCCACACCATTACACCACCACCAGCAGCCTGCACAGTGGTAACAAGGCATGATGGATCCATGTTCTCATTCTGTTCACGCCAAATTCTGACTCTACCATCTGAATGCCTCAACAGAAATCGAGACTCATCAGACCAGGCAACATTTTTCCAGTCGTCAACTGTCCAATTTTGGTGAGCTCTTGCAAATTGTAGCCTCTTTTTCCTATTTGTAGTGGAGATGAGTGGTACCCGGTGGGGTCTTCTGCTGTTGTAGCCCATCCGCCTCAAGGTTGTGCGTGTTGTGGCTTCACAAATGCTTTTCTGCATACCTCGGTTGTAACGAGTGGGTATTTCAGTCAAAGTTGCTCTTCTATCAGCTTGAATGAGTCGGCCCATTCTCCTCTGACCTCTAGCATCAACAAGGCATTTTCGCCCACAGGACTGCCCCATACTGGATGTTTTTCCCTTTTCACACCATTCTTTGTAAACCCTAGAAATGGTTGTGCGTGAAAATCCCAGTAACTGAGCAGATTGTGAAATACTCAAACCGGCCCGTCTGGCACCAACAACCATGCCATGCTCAAAATTGCTTAAATCACCTTTCTTTCCCATTCTGACATTCAGTTTGGAGTTCAGGAGATTGTCTTGACCAGGACCACACCCCTAAATGCATTGAAGCAACTGCCATGTGATTGGTTGATTAGATAATTGCATTAATGAGAAATTGAACAGGTGTTCCTAATAATCCTTTAGGTGAGTGTATATGCTTGGTTAAGCAGTTCACGACACTTCTTGTTTTATTTGTCCTGACGCCCTACGACAAGTGGTAGCTTGTCTTTTGGACAGTTTAGTCTTGTCAAACTAACACTAAGTGTACTGAAAAAAGGGCTCGTAGCTTATATGCCGCGAGTAAAGAGAGGAAGGATGCGATTTTGAGACAGCACTGCTGTTTATATAGGATGGGGTGGGGCTTCCTGGGAGGTGTGATTGCATAGGGCTTCACGGATGGCCATGCAAGAGGCCTTTCCCATAGTGAGAGTCGACCGATAGAGAGCTAATGTTAACTAATTAAAACTTGTTGTAAAGTGTTACCGTGAAAGGTAAAGGTTTTTGTAATGTCATGCTATTGAAATGTACATACTACATAAAACTGTGCTAAACTAAAAGTACTAAATGGGGAAAATGCAACATATTTTATTAAGCTAGTATTGTATAACTATTTCATAAGACATTAGATACAGGACAAAATCCACATTTCTCCATAACACTGTCACTGTCATTTAACAGAATTTGACAATGTACTATTTAAACTGCTCTTTGTAAAAACATGCAAAAGTACATGACATTCATGGCACATACTATATAAGTCTGTCTCATCCAAGATTTCAGACTTGATGATTTCTTCAATGACATCCTCCAGGGTGATAATGCCAAGAACTTCGTAGAAGGGGTCGCCTTCTCCTTCGTTGTTAACCCGCTGGACTATTGCCAGGTGAGATTTACCTAGGAAATAATACAGTTGTTTAGAGGTCGATTAAGACGCACACCATTCTTATTTTAAAGTTTAAGCTGTTTGCATATAAAGGAATATTTAATGCGTTTTCTAACTGTATCAAAATGTAATCAAGCTTAAAGTTATAGTTCACTCAAAAATGAAAATTCTGCCATCATTTACTCTTAGGAGTAAATCTGACTATTTTCTATTTAGAATAAAAAAAACAAGATATTTTAAGTAGTTTTTCTACAGTTTTTGTCCATAGATCGATGGGGTCCAAAACAACACTTATAAAATGCTGAAGAAAGTCAAACGCCTCTAGGTTTGGAATGAAATGCAAGTGTGTAAATAATGTCAGAATTTTCATTTCTGACCGCATGCACATATCCTGCAAATGTGTAACTGCTGTTGGCAACCTGATAATGGTATTAGCATAAAAATGTTTGGCAATGACAACAATCCTAGTGGTTTCTACACCAAATCTTAACAAATTATCCAACATATGTACTGTACCTGTACAACCAACACTCTAGAGTTTCTCAGAGCGTCTATGGCATGAAGCCACACTCTCTCCCTCTGCTAAGTTCAAAAGTCTGACCCTGTTTCCCAAAACACCTAAGTGTTTTGTCTTTGATATTGAAGGTCTAGAGGTCTAGAGTAACTGGGTTCAGTCTCAAAATACTGTGTATTATGTCTTTGAACAAACGTAGTCCAGTCTTGGTGATATATCTCCACTGGAGTGGACAAACATGTCATAAGCATTGTGCTGTCTAAAAAATTTTTTTTAAGTAAGATTGAATGAGCTCCTGCTTCTGATAATTGGTGTTTATTTCAACTAAATAAAAACTGAAACCCTGTAAAAGGACAAGGGTGAAACTTTCAAGTTTCTCCTGAAGCTTTAATACATATCACAAAGACAAAAGTGAAAACCACTTTTTGTTTATTCTGTCAGGAAAAACACCAAACAAATTCTTTGCCTTTTCTCAGCTTGTGAACTTTTAGAAGGAATTTTCCAGAGGGCCAGGCTAATATTAGACCTGAAATGAAGTTTCCATTCCACTTGGGCAATATTCTCACCAAAGCGACTGCTGGGTGATCTGATCTGTCTCAGAGCTGGTCGTTTATATGCAGATGGCCATTTGCTGAAATACTAGGAAGCCTGGGACGCACTTGTGGCAAACCCCATGACAACACACAAACAATGATTGGCTATAAATCTCTGCTTAAGGAGTGTGGCCTTAACTTGAGTGTGTGTACCTTCTTTTCCTTATTTTGTCACTGCAATGATTTCAATGAACCTTATGCATGTAGCTTGATTCACTAAACATCCAGGAATATGTTGGAACTAGTGTACTTTATGTTTGCAATCCTATGAGTCATTTTTTTTTATAATCACCAAATTTTGGAGTTAATGAAAATATTAAAAACATAACTGAACTGTATTATTATCTAATATAAATTAATTATAAATTGCATTCTCGTTATTAATACTCAAAGGTCACTTAGACCGATGACCTGATCTAGAAATCCTTGTCCGAACCCATCTGCACAACACTATAAACTAAATCGCATTTAAGTTAAGATAAACCTTGTCAGTCAATTGACTAAACCTCAAAAGGAACACAAAGTTACACTAGTTATGAAGGGTGATTCTGTGATATGTGACAATGAAGTAACTTGATGGCAAAGGTTACCAGTGTTATCACAGAAAATAACTCCACAAGATAGTATTTAAATAATATCAGTCAATCCTTTGTATGCAAGTGGAAATGAATCACCCTTAAAGAGAGGACGTAAGAGCAAGGGTCAAGGGGTAGTAGAAGTCACAAGACTAAATAAATAAGTGCTCAAGCATTAAATATCAGCACAAAAAGAAGGGTTTATTCAGGCAACAGTGGAAAAAAAACATGTTTACTTTATGTATTTTCCTTCATAGGTTCCCTTGAGTACACCATATCTCACCCCTTCAAGGAAACAAGGATATTAGCTTCTACTCTGTTCCTGCTGGGATTATTTCTATTCCAAGGTAGAGAAAAAAAAGAAGATTACAATTTTGTTTCATTACTTGTGGTCACAGCTTGAAAAAGAAGAAGAAAAGAAATGGAGAAAACAGACAGTCATTATATTTGCAATTTAATCAAATGACATTATGAAATCATGAAATATACATAGCAGCTTTGACGCTTTTTATATTTCATATACATTTTGTGGGCAAAACGGTCCATTATGGTGTTGCAATGTATAAAGCACTGTTCAAAAAAAGTAGACTCTTTCAAACCTAACAAGTGGAATCTGCTGTGAATTTTTTGAGAAATCTTTCGCCCTCACACAAAATTCCTAATAGTGTGAATTCTTATTGAAAATATAATTTTTAATACCCCTGAAAATTTGCCAAACAATGGTAAATAATGATAATTCTTTACTCACATATTCAGAAAAACTGAAAACATACCTTTTTTGAATGGTTAACACATGACATTTAGTGTGAAATCCAGACTTCAATCATTTTATTTCAAATTTATATCTCCTGATTGCTTTATTCCGCATAATTGTGACTTTATATCTTATACTGTAACTTATTTAAAGTTTATCTCAGAATTACATGTTTTATTTCGTACTATGTGTGCTTGTATACAGCGGTGGACAGTAAAGTAATTTTACTTTGTTAGCCTACTGTATTTAAGTAAGCACTTAAGTACATTTTCCAGTGATTTCTTCAGTTTGAAATTACGAGGAACAATATGTTTTATAAAAGGTAGTGGGGTAAAAAGTTAGGTATTTTTGGAATGTAGTGAAGTAACAAATTTTTTTTTTCCCAAAATAAACATTCCCAAAGCATAATATTGTAAATTTTACTCCTCTACATTCCATACAAATGGCTTAGGGTTACGTATGGAACCCCGGTTCCCTGATAAGCCCATTCTGCTTAAAGGGTTAGTTCACCCAAAAAAGAAAATTATCCCATTAATGTCTCACCCTCATGTCGTCCCAAGCCCGTAAGACCTCCGTTCATCTTCGGGAACACAGTTTAAGATATTTTAGATTTAGTCCGAGAGCTTTCTGTCCCTCCATTGAAAATGCATGTACGATATACAGTCCTTGTACAGAAAGGCATCAAAAGTAGTCCATGTGACATCAGTGGGTTAGTTAGAATTTTTTGAAGCATCGAAAATACATTTTGGTCCAAAAATAACAAAAACTACGACTTTATTCAGCATTGTATTCTCTTCCGTGTAATGGTTACCAGATAACACATCAGCAGCGTCACTGTGGACTCGTGAGCACGGATTGACAACAGAACCGGAAGAGAATACAATGCTGAATAAAGTCGTAGTTTAACCTGATGTCACATGGACTACTTTGATGATGTCTTTATTTCCTTTCTGGACAAGGACAGTATATCGTACATACATTTTCAATGGAGGGACAGAAAACTCTCGGACTAAATCTAAAATATCTTAAACTGTGTTCCGAAGATGAACGGAGGTCTTACGGGCTTGGAACGACATGAGGGTGAGTCATTAATGACATCATTTTAATTTTTGGGTGAACTAACCCTTTAAGAGTCTGCCAGGCTGTACCTTACAGATCTAAAAAGGAGCATAGCCTTACTTTAACATCCCAGACTGATCTCATGAAATGGCGTATGTATGACAGGCGAATTCGTATTTCTATTTTTGGCGTGCTATCAACACGCATAATCGCTTTTCAGCGTGTTTATCAACGCCGTTGACTTAACTACATTACTGTATATAAATATATGACCTACCCCAGCCCCGTCCCTAAACCTACCCGTCACTGGGGTTAATACCATTTATGAGTCTTCCCCTACCATCCTAGGAAAAAAAATATCGCTCCACAGACGTAGATATACTTTTTGCTTCGTTTCGCTCGGACATTTAACGGCGTATACATACACGCGGAATCACTCGGACATTTAACGGCGTACACATACACGCAAAAGATTTCGGCGTGGACATACACGCGGATAGCTCAAAATGCGTATAGATAACACGCCACTTGACTTGAAAGTGGCGTGTATGTTTACGCAAAGTCATGATGTCATGTTGAACATCCATGCTGGAGAAGGCGACATATTAGGGAGTGGGTCGCTTCACGAGTCAACCACCTCAACCTTAATCCGTACAGCTCTACTTTAAAAAAAAATACAATATTGCTCTACCCATTAGGAATGGAGCATAAGCCCAAACATAACCCCTATTCCTATCTATTCTATCAATTCACCAGTCAGCTCCACTCACCAGACATCTTTCGAAGAGCACAGCCCTGCTTACGTCTTTTACAATACAGTGGGGAGGGCAACAGTTTCCTCGGGTCTGCTTTGATACCCGATGAAGGGCTAACAGGGTGGAAAAATAGGCCAAACCGAAATCTGGACCACATCAACACGCCTAATCCATCTCAAGTCCTAATAAAGACGGGAGAGGAAAGGTCTTGAGTGTCAAGCTCAACTAGGACTGGGCGATATGGCAAAAAAAATATTCAAACCAACCCATCCATAGTTAATGAAAGACCTTTTCCTCTTTTCATCTCCTGGCAGAGATACACCAGAGTACATAAAGTCGATATTGATAATTATCACGATAAATGTCAAATCTTTATTTCTTTCAAGTTTAAAGGCAGACTTTTGCCTTAGTGAAATTTGTAGAAACCAGACCATTAATTATGGTTTAAAACTACTCTTTATTATCAGACCATGACAAACACTTCATGTTTTTGAATTCTTTACACTTTTCCGGTAATTTTTCCATAACAAAATATCTTAATAGAAAAATGTATTTCTTAGTTTCTGCATGTGCTAACGGGTGATATTGTTTCAAATCATAAAACACGGATTTGTGTTGTCTGATTTTTGATGGAACATTTATTTCGGCACAGTTTACAGTGCATGCTGCAATATTAATATTATTACATGTTTTGTCTCTTAGAAATGCATTTTGACAGTAGCTTGAATTTGGATGCAGATGTAAATTTATGTTCATTAACA